AAGTGCGCTGTAGAATACGGTGAACAAAAAGTATCGTCTCCCGACTCACCCCCATGTCCATACAACCATCACTCCGCCTAGATGCCTACACTCATTCATAAACCACTGCACACCTGCCCACGTGACTCTGATGCTAATTACATTTCAAAATAAAAGTAGCAACAATCACACACAGGAAGTGGCAGACGGCCGCTACATCCCAGCCCCTAATTATAACACTGTAGTAATTACAAAAAACACAATAAAACATACATCAAACGAATGCCCATGATTAATATTCCAGTAAGGGGGTGTAGTCATCTTCTTTCACGAACAAGTCTAGTCTAGGCCAGAGGTTCAAGCACTTAGCCTGTCAAGGTGATCTTTACCACCACCTTTTGTCGTGTGAGTAGATAAGTCAGTCAAAAGTAATTGTCTATTCAGACCTCGGCTTCCAGTAGCAAACGGACTTTGGTTATTGTCCTATCTAAACAATTGGTCTTAGTCTTGATAAGTAGCCGTACTAGTCCTAGTCCTTTTGCCCTTTGATCTTCTGGTATTGCTGTAATCACGGCACGTCGATTACTCGTCCATTTAGTAAACTTAAAACCTTCTCGATAGCTTCCAGACTGAACTGCCCTTCATTGCCCTCAGCACGTTTTCTAAGTGCAAAACTAGCACAACTTGGTGATGAAGTTGCACCAAAGAGATGCGCCTTCATTCTGAAGTCCACCAGTTCTTGTGCAAAGTCACCATCGGGCCACCAGAGAAACCTCAGCAAATCCATGTCTTCTGCTGGTACTCACTTGATGGAACATGGACTCTATTTGTGCCAAGATTATCACTGGTTCCTTCCTGAATCTGGTTACGACACCTATCAATGAGCTGGTGAGATCTGGTCCCTGCTGGAGCTGATCATTGGGAGATGTCATCTGGAAAGGTGCTCCGCTGTTGAACTCCACCCGCATCGTCCCCTTTCGAGGGTGGTAGATGCCATGGTGTGGGATATACCACAATCTCCCATCATCACGAGTCGGTTCCTCCGCAGATACTCGCTCAGCATATCCTTTGGAGACAAGATTGTCCACAAAGTCCGCATACTGCTGTCGGGAAGACACATCTCTCTTGAACCTCCTTTGAAGGTTTAGAGTACACTGCTCTGCGACTTTTCTGTTATTTGGCATGTTTGATTTACATTCTCTCAGGGGCAATGCAATCTGGTAATGTCTGTTCACAAGGCTCGCTGAATTTCTGACCAGCTTCATGAATTTCTGGTCTTCCCATGACAAAGCAGGTTGCTCCTCGTGGCTGCATTCTGGAAAATCAGTTTTGAACTGTTGCTGCCAGAGCTTATCCAAGTTTGAAACTGAAACTCTATTGACTGTGACAATGTCAAATCCATCGGTGCAGTTTCCTACCAATGGTCCATTAACAGGCCACCCTAGAATTGTTTTGATGGCATAAGGTCCATCCTTCAGGCTACGGATCACTTCTAATGGTTCCAAGGCCTTTGGCACATTTGTTCCTATTAGCAGCTCGATTTCTGCGTCGATCTCTGGCAGATGAACATGTCGCAAGTGAGGCCATCTCTGAAGATCACAGCAGTGCTTCCTTGATCTAGGAAAGCATAAGTGAGCACTGTCTTATTACCTTTTCTAGACTTAACTTGTACTGGGACTATGGGAAGTTTACAATCTTCCTCACCAGCCCCAGTGAGGCCATTGGACATTAAGGCTCTGCCCACTGCCGTGCCTGGCTCTTGTTCAGTTTCAGATTTTGCTTGCTTCTCCTTAAACTGAATATGAAGCATTGTGGGGTGCTTCATACAACACACTTGGCATGTCAACCGTTTTTGACAATCTTTGCTGATATGTCCTGTACATAAACAGGCAAAGCAAACACCATTTTCTTTTAAGAATGTGATCTTTTCGGTGCGAGTCTTCTCTTCCAGGTGAGGGCATGACTCTAGAGTGTGTTCACCTTCACAAAACAGACAATCTTTAATGGGTAAGGCAGTGTACCGTTTCCATTCCCGTGTTCCAATATTCCTATTTTCGACGGTGGTCGCAGTTGTAGCGAAAATACTTCCTTTGGGTTTAGAGATGGCTCGATTCATACTTTTACTTAATGCTGGTGCGGGGTCTTGGATATTCCCGAACACTGGGTGTGTTAGAATTCTAACTTGCCTTTTAACGAAATTAACAATGTCGCTGAATGTAGCCCTTTGGTTACGGCTCTCTTGTATCTCGCAGGCTACTGTTCTCCAGCAATCCCGAAGCTTGTATGGCAATTTCTTTACTATTGTAAGCATATTAGCGGGCATTTCCAGTTCATACATGTACTGTACGACCGTTCATCACATTGCTACAGCTTCGAAGAAACAAACCGTAATCTTTTAATGCATTAACATCTTCGGATCTTATTGGGGCCCATGACAGAACTTGGTCTATATAAGCAGTGGCAATTATTTGCTCATTACCGAAGTGTTCCTGTAGCAAAGCCTTAGCTTGAGCATAACCCCTTTCAGGGTCAACATGCTGACAACTTCGTACAAGTTCCCTTGGGCGACCTCTAGTGAACTGTTCAAGGAAACACAGGCAATCACTGCAATTGCTCGACTTGCTTTCGACACCGTTTGAAGCTCTTATAAAAGTGTGAAACTGTAATGGGTTGCCATCAAAGCCTGCAGATCTCTTTTGGGTAGAGATGCCATTTGTTGTTGCTGTACCAGCAAGGTTGTTATTTCATTTTGCCTTTCTTTTCATAAGCTCTTTTATAGCAGGAAATAGCGCTTTGATTTTATCTACGAGCACCTTTCGCTCCTTTTGAAGTTTTTCAATTTTTATTGCCAAAGCCTTTGCAGTTAGTTTGACTTCTCGTTTTTCCATTGTTTCGGAAACATTATTCACGTCGCGATCATGTGTTTCGCTCATTGTGCCTTCAAGTTCGACAGTTCAAGTTTTCACAGTGCACCAACGAGTCAATAGCGTTCAATTAAATTCACGTTTCCAAACGGGATTCAACATCCGATTCCCCACTGCCAAGCCAAATAATTCGACAGTCGATGTAGGCGAACGTCACCCGGAAAGACGACGATCCCCAATGGACACCCGCAAACCATCAAACTTTCCAAACGCAGCATGAATGAGAGTGGGGATTTTGCATGCCTACCGTGGCTGTTCGCGTTGGGATGAATCCGTGGCTCGGTAAGGATCTCTGTCGCGATGTATCTGTAATCCAACTTTCTTCTTCGGATCCATAACCCCGCAATCCGACAGGAATCCATGATAAAGACTGCACGTTTGTTGTATGCAACTGATTACTTATTTGTTTACTTTTTTGTTGACAAATGTGGTGACTACGATTCGGTAGAGTCAAGTGAGGCTAAGTTCGGGAGACAGACGGCCGCTACAATGGTGAAATTCACAGGATCGCGGCAGCAAAGTGGACAGTGCACACAAGATACATGGTAAAAAAACAAACAAGACAAGAGCAGCAGCAATAAGTAAGCGTAAGGGATCAGGACTGAGACTCAGGCGCAGAGTAAGAAAACTACGAAATACTTCCAACCAGCTTTGGGATCTTTACTGGCAAAATCAACTTTACAAACCAAAACGTAGCACAGGCACAAGCAGACTTAACACACTGGAGAGGGAGAAAGAACAAGGCCAATAAAAAAGCAGGAAGACGAAAAAGCAGCACTAGGAACACTGGCTTGAGACATACAACTCCGGGTAGGACAATAGATAACCTGACATGGACGAGTGGAAAAAGGGCGGGAAACTAAACAAAGACAGGAAGTGGTTAAAAGAATAAAACAGGAAGTTATTCTTTTCAGTCTCTTCGAGTTGTCAGAGTAAGTAGGTAAAAATATAATAATACTAAAAATAAATAAAAGAGTGCAAAAAAGAACCACAGTAACTAAATATACTAGGAACTAAATAAATATATGCATATGTACACACAGTGTATCACAGAGGTTATTGCACATTGTCATGTTTATGTTTTGCTGAATTTGGCTGGTTTGTCTAAGAGAAATTATATTAGATTCATCGTTGAATTCTCCAGCGATTTGATTTCTCCATTTCCATGTTTGGTTTTAGCTTCGACGGATTGTTCAACTTTTGCATCACTGTGTGCACAATTTCTAGACGAAGATATTTTCTGATAACACGCCACTCCCAGTTGATGCCGCGTCCCCTACGCCACACCAGGGTCAAAGGTGTTAATGTGAAGGAAAAAAAAAATCTGTACGCAAAAAAAATCTCTGAAAGTGAAAATAGAAGTTTTGAATCTGAAAATACAAGATATGAATCTGAAAATATCTGAAAATATATAATACAGTGAATATAAAAAAGTGAATATAAGTAATATTGAAAAAAAAATGTATTCAATAAAATTTTAAAATGGAGTCCAAACTATATTAAACCCGAAAAGAGTTTTTGTGCACTCATTTTTATTTTAAATACATTGTTGTATTTTTCAATGTTCAACAACAAAACAAACTCAGGTTCACATTTGTTTTTCAAATGATCCAAACTTTTGACCTGGATTTGGCTCCATTTACTTTCTACTCCTTACATAAACAAAAAAGAATGTTTGTTTGCATGAGGTGAAATGTGGCGTGGCACCCAGACACACAGACACACTCTCACGCGCACACAGACACACACACACACACACACTCAGCTGTCCCCCTGTGTGCGTTCCCTTCAATCATCGCAATCTTCAGCTTGTTTATGTCCAGTAAACTCCTGGTCCAAATCTAAGCACCAGACCTATAGATGAGTAATAATATTTTTCATGTATCACCAAATATATTTCATACAGAAAAAACTATTTCGTTTCAACATAAACTAAAATAACATTTTGGAATTTTGGAATTTTTTTATGTTGGAAAGGTTTGTCTTTGGTTTGGTTTCATTTAGTGGTATACAATCTTTTTTTACGCAAAACAAAATACTATATATATATATATATATATAGATATTAAGAGGAAGAGGAAGAAATAAACTAATTCATTGAGAAGGACGTTGTTGCACACACAGGTGTGCCCAAAAAAGATTCCAGGATTGTTTCATGTCTGATGTCAGCTGGAGGAGAGGCAGTGTTGAACTTCCTCTCCGATGTTTTGCAGCTCAGTTTCTCTCCCATGAGTCAGGGAGCAGTCAGGAGCCGGTTGGCACAGGTGATGGAAACGCTGAGAATATATAGAGACATATTCACAATATGAAGCAAATACTCTGAAACTGTGTGTTGGTATTTAAGATCTTCATAAGTTGTGTAAACTAAAGAAAACTATTTTATTTATACACCCTATAGACTCTCCTGTTATAGCCAGATAATTCTAATAATAATTATTGACTCAACGTATTAATATGACGAACACATCATGCCATTTCTTCAATGAATGACAATAAAACAGTTCCACAGTTGTCCCACCTGACTGAGGCTCCCAGTCCCTATCGCCAGTTTGTACAGCGCCCATCCCGGCACCAGCAGGATGGAGGAGAAGGTCAGCACCCAGCCGCACGCGTATGCCCACGCTGGGTACACGTACCAGCGGTTAAAGGTCAGAGGCTGGTACTCCACAAAAGAACGTATAAAAGAAATCTGAGACAACAGGAAAAAAGGAGTCACAAGTTATGTCCACATTTAACCTCTAACCTTTAACAACCTCTCACGTGAAAACCCGTCACTGACGGTGACTCACCAGTAAGACCACAGGGGTGAGGTAAAGCCAGCTGAATTTAAAGAACGGGTTGGCGTGCACTCCGGTCATGTCCTTGATGATGTCACACAGCCGCTGCGCCCCTTTGTGGGAGATGATGTTTTTATGATCAGCACTCAATGACCGTGACGTACTGCTCGATGTGTGAAAACAGCTTTCTAAAACCAGCCCAATGATGTCATCAGGGTTTTGTTGTATTGTGGGAAATCCATGCGTTTTAAGAACTGCCGCTGCTGCTTTGTCTTCCCCGTGGGTCCCCGCCAAGTTTGTTTAGGTCCTTTATTGAATTGCTCCCTTAAAAAAGAGAACAGTACACCTACCAAATATCCATCCTAGTGCCACGGTTTCAAACACGCAGAGGAAGAGGATGCAGGCTCCGTTGCAGGCGTAGTAGTCAAACATCTGGAACACGTACATTCCTCCCTGCACACAACAGCAAACGCATGTTTCTGACATGGTTTCATCAACTTCACGTCATATTTCAGATGCGTGCATCTTGTCATAATGATGAAATAAAATCATGATATGAAAGTTGTTGTACTTTAAATAGTACTAAAGACTGACCTCGGTGACCATGACCAGTTGAAAGAGAAAGCATGTGAGGCAGAAGAGGAGGAGGAAGAGTTCCCGTCGGCCATACCTGCGCATTAATTTGGGAAACATATCGATGATGGATGTCGTCACCACCTCCATGGCCACAAACTAGCCAGAAATGGGGAAAAGAGACGCATCAAGTACAGTGGACAAACGTGGGTTTCTTCCCTCGACGAAGAGTTAATCAAGAGTACATCTTACAGAGTACATACTCGCGTGTCCACACCCAAGAGGATGAGCATGACGAAGAAGCAGATGGACCACAGTTGGGGCAGAGGCATCATGGCCACGGCCTGAGGGTATGCAATGAAAGCCAAGCCAGGGCCTGGGAAACCACAGATAATCAAGCATTAAGCATTAAGCGTTCACAATTTATCAAACGTAAACATCCCCCGATAATAATAATGACCATCGCCTTGTGCAAATGTCTCAAACTGTATAACGACTGTATGGGTCATCGTGGCGCAGGGGTTAGAGAAGGTGTGCAGAGAAGCACAAGGTTGGTGGTTTGATTCCAGGCTGCCCCATGTTCCATGTTGAAGGGTACCTGAGCAAGACACCTAACCCCTAATTGCTCCCCAGGCAAAAATGTGAAAAAGCCATGGGTTTAAAGTGTAATGTAAGTCGCTTTGGATAAAAGCGTCTGCTAAATGACCAGTAATGTAATAATGTTTGAAGGTGTTAATGTGCTCGTGTCTCTGGTTGTCCTCAAGGTGGCAGCAACATTTCACCCATTGTGACAAGCGGTGAAGGAAGAACTCGTTCGCTTTAGCACCAAAACAACCGTATAAAAGTCCTGCAGTCGAATTCTCACCTGAGTCAAAGTACTCACCCTGCGGTAAAAGACCCTTGCTTTAATTGAACAGCGATGTTGTGTGTTGGATTTAATTGAGGTGTTTATTGTAATTAGTAGTATAAGTATTTTAAAACGTTTTTTTGATTACGAGCCTGCTGGGTTGCGTTACCTGACTCGGCCACGTCTGCGATGGAGACGCCCTGCTCGTGAGCCATGAATCCCAGCACGGAGAAGACTGCGAACCCAGCTACTACACTGGTGCCACTGTTTAGCAAACACAGCCACAGGCAGTCTCTGCAAAACACAACGCACCCTGTGAATCCGTGAGCAGGGAGTGGATGCGTTATAAATATTGCACAGCTCCGTGCAGTCAGACATTGAGGGCCGCTCACCTGTAGCAGTTGTTGTTGTAGGTGTTGTAGCTGCCCAGCACAGTCAAGGAGCCCACGCCCACGCTGTATGAGAAGAGGATCTGAGACCCGGCCTCCATCCAAACCTGTTGAACCAAGCAGCAGTGATTCATCCATGGACTTGACACTGTAACAGAATGTCAGGAATCCCTTACCTGAGGGTCCGTGAGCCTCGAGGGATCCGGCAGAAGGTAATACAGTACTCCTTGCAGAGCCCCGGGAAGAGAGAGTCCGCGGATCAGAAGAATGAGCAGCATGACGTACGGGAAGGTGGCAGTGAAATATACCACCTGGGGAAAAGACAAGGTCTTTAGAGGTCAACTTATCCCACTTTTACAACGGCTTTAGGGTAGTTCAAGGCTTATTTAGAGAACCTTTCCCGTGGACTTGACCCCTTTCCAGATGCAGAAGTAGCAGATGACCCACATTGCAACGAGGCACAGCAAGAGATCCCATCTGATGCTGCCCATCTCCTCAATCCCCCCCGAGATGCCAAGCACCCGTCGTCTAGAAGGAACAAAAGATCAGGTTGTGACTCCGCTCGGCCCATTAGAAAGAACCTAGAGGCTTCAGTGGATCCGTGTACGTACTCCCAGAACTCTGTGGCAGCAGAAGCTGCGTTAGTCTGGTTGGTCCATTCACGGGTTTTATTTTGTGCTGCCAAGTCAATGCAGTTGGCTGAAAGAACAGTGTGATGAGAAACAGATTAATGGTCAGATGTGTAACAATCTTCTGAGGTTCTAGAGGAAGAGGAGTCTGAGAAACCAACCAAGACTTCAAATCTTCAAGCAACAGCTTTCATTACAAGATTTTGGTGTGGAATTTAAAAGCTGTAGGCAATTGCCAGATAAATATGCTGTCCAGTTGCATTATGAGTAATGTAGGATTCAATCTTTCAGAAAACCTAATCCATATTAGGGGGGAAAAGTTGGAATATCTCTGCTTCTGTTTTTATTTTGACCTTTATTTTTAATTTCCCCAAACTGTATAAAAGATAATTTGAGTGTTTATATCTGTCTATAGACGGTCTCCATTTGACCTGTGTTCCAGTAGTTGTCGCAGCTGGCCCATGGGAGCTGAGGGCTGAAGGAGAACACCAAGTAGAACAAAGCCCAGGCCAGAATTAACATGTAGGTCATACAGCTGTAGAAGAGGATGAGCTGCCCAGCGTAGCCGATACCTGCGAGGCCACAAAGACAAACATTATGAAGTCCGGACCCCCTCCATTGACTCATTAATCCGCTTCAGGGTCACGTAAGCCCGAATGACATTACATTAAAACTGCTCAGTCACTGTGAGAGACTACTTTTCCATAATGACATATATATATATATATATATATATATATATATATATATATATATATATATATATATATATATATATATATGTATATGTATATTTATCAAAGGCAAACTGAAAAAAGACATTGTAGTTTCTCTACATTCTCTCTTGGAATAAAATCTATTTAAGGTTATAGGTGTGTCACTGATATTTCTTACTCTCAACAGTTATTTAATTTAAAGAAACCTCTGCTTTAATCTTTTGTTGTTGACATGTTGTGTAGAAAAGGACCCAAATGGATGTAGCAGAAGCAGACATTTTCTGTTCTATATTCTCCATTTTTAAAGTTTTTGCCCTCAACATCAATGCAAGTTGTGCAACAACTTTGCAAAACTCCCATGTACCTATGCATACAGGTACATGCATGCCTTTAACCCCTCATAACCATTTTAGAGACTAGCTGTGCAGACGGCCTATTGAGCCACCAGCTACTCGTTGATCAAAGCTGATTGATCTTCAGAGGTTGTTTCCTTTGAATCTTCAATAAAGCGCGTACCTTCGGCCAGTGGGCACAGCTTCCTCCAGCAGGTGATGCCCCCCTCCTGGGTGTACTGGCCCAACGTCGTCTCCAGCAGGAACAGCGGTACGCCGCAGGTCACCACGAACACCAGATAGGGCACCAGGAATGCACCTGAACTTACAGAGAAACAGCGTTGTGCTCACGTCTACCCGGAGGTTTGAGGCGGCGAGGAGTCGTGAACCTCGTATTCGCTCACCCCCTCCGTTTTTGTAGCAGAGGTAAGGAAACCGCCACACGTTGCCGAAGCCGACAACATTTCCCGCCACCGCCAGGAGGAACTCCGTCTTACTGCCCCAGTGTCCTCTCTCCTCCACTTCTACTCCCTGGCGCTTTGGGCCACATTTTTTATTCACCATTGCCAAAAGCAAAGCCCGAGGCCGGTCGTCCTGTTGACCCACGGGCTGTCCGTCCGGGTCTCCTCTTCTCGCCTCACGGCGGATTCTGTAGCGTCTTTTAATGAGCAACTGGCTGATCAGTCAATGAGTTATTGTACTAAGTTGTTGCCCAGGCTGAGCTTAAATTAAAATACCTAACCGACAACTGATTTGGAAAGTCCAAATTCCTTGTTATGGTACGACCCATTCGATTCTTTAATTAAAGGAATCGAACTAATCTTTATAAATGTCTCATCTAGTTTTAGATCAAATATTACTCAGATGTTCTTGCACAACTCCATACCTATACTACATATACTACATACCATACCTAATTCCTCCTATGTAGTCAGCTTTCTTCCTCCATCCGGATTATACATGTGTACTCATTCATACAACTGCCATTAGACATTCAGCCCCCGGTAGGAAGGCTGTAAATGTCCCTGCAAAGTCACTGTGAGAGCAGCAAAGACAAAGACAACGTGTAATAACATAAAGTCACATTCTGCCACATTTGATCGGGCAAAATATGTGTAATCGTCAAAACAAATACGTTCTATGAACATTATGCTCAATGGGATACTATTTTATTGCACTTATCAAGCAAGGGAAAAAAGCACCGTACGTTTAGATTTATTGCTGTAACTTCTCTTTTTTTAATCACACACCTGGCCTGATAACCGTGGTGTCCAGTATAAAATTAGGCCCTTACCAGAACTGTTCCTGTTCTGGTAAGGGCCTACTGTTAAACAGCTCCACATTAGTGGAACTAAAAAGTGGAAGTAAAGAAGACTTGTTTCATGTTTGCTTTGTCTTGTTGACTAAAGCACGCTGTGAGTGTAACCGTCACGCTGTGCACACATGCTTTATTGTTACTTTCCAACGTTTTTTCATTCAAGTTCACAATTATTATTTTTTCCTTGCTGAAGAGTACCGTAATATCCAATTTATTCCATCCATGGCAGTAATGCATTATTTGTGATATCAGATGTCCAGAACACCATTGAGAATGATAATACAATTATTAACTCTTTATTTAATGCACATTCTTTACAAATTACAGTAGTAAGCACAAATCAATCATTGAGAAAGATATTTTTCATTCATAGTCGTCATTTGTGTCTCTTTTGTGTACAGCTGTTTGCGTGGACACCTGCAAAGCCTTTTGTAATCACACCGGCCTAAAGCAGAAGAAGGAGCAGACCCAACGCCGCGAGGAACCCCGCCGTGGGCGTTCGCCGTCCTGCCCCACTGGTTTCCGCGCTCCTGTCTCTCAGCTGCGGCCGCCGGCCGGACGCTAGTTGGCAGCGCTTCATGTTTCCCGCGGCGTCCCACACCAGCAGCTCGGCCCGAGCGGAGCAGCAGCTGGACGAGTACGTCCCCCACAGCGGCTGAGAGGAGCCAGGTGCCCATTCGGAAACATTCAGAGGTGGGTCTCCTCTCTCTAGTCTGGCCTTGTGGTGGCGGCCTCCACTTGCTGTCTTGTCTCTGTCCTCCACCAGACCGTCCTCCGCGGGCGGGGGTCTGTGGAATAAAGTCAGAACGCCTTCGCCGCTCTGTAGCTGGAGGGCGGCGAGGCCGGAGCGGCCCCTGTCCGACACGACCAGGGACACGCTCCAGCTCGACTCGTTGCAAACGGAGGGACACGGGGACGGCGCTCGAGCAGCGTCGCAGGACGGGGCGGAGGTGTCGGGATCCTGCGAGACCAAGAGAGGGTGACGTCAGTCGCAGAAACTCGAAACGACCACAAGCTCAAGTTGTGTCCGATCTCAACGCTCACCGGGGGGATCACGGTCAAGTAGGCCACCGCGTAATTTGAGTCCGGAGAGTCGAGAGCGTTCACGGTGAGCGTCAAGGTGACCGTCGCCCCCGCCTCTGCTGCGGCAGGAGCGATGAGGTCCACCTCACCGCGGAAAGAACCTTGTTCTTCAACATGGAAACTGAGGGGCAGAACAATTCAACTTAGGGAACAAAAGATCTCCTGTAGCAGGTTTCCTAAAGTGCGTGTATCTTTTGTGTTTTTTGGATTACCTGAGAGGTCCTCTCTTGTGAAGATACCCGCGGTCGTCATCGGCGTTCAGGCTGAAGGATCGAGCTGGGCCGTGGTTGAGGATGTCAAAGGCCACCTTTGTGCTGTGACCGGGCACCAGGCGAGGGACAGACAAAACCTGAGGAGGCACACAAGTGGAGCAGCATCATCACTGCCTGTCGCTGAGCCAAAACAAGCGGTGGGCCATGAAACCAAAACAAAGAGCCGAAGGACCCCCGGCCAGGTCCACGTTTGTCCCCACCTGTATCTGGACGCGAGTGGGCTGGACCATCTCCGTGGAAACCCTCTCCAGCTTGTTTCCTCCGCCGTCTTGGCCCGTCAGCCGAACACAGAACGGGACTACGGGAACCGAGTCCATCCATCCCACCAGCTCCTCCACCGCGTAGGATGATGAAGAGGAGGAGTTCAGATTCACCTGCCGGAGGCTTTCCCCCGCCGCTCCCAGCAGCGTCACGTGACTAAAAGACGCCTCCTCACCCGGAGCGCGGCCCGTCACAGCCAGCACCAGGAAGACAGGAACACCTAAGAGATCACAAGAAGAACAGGGCAGTTTTTTCAAACAGTCGACTCATTCCAGGCACGTTGTTATCGATGCATCGCTAATTATGTCACCTGCTACTGGACCACCCTCCACTCTGGCCAGACCTGGGTGCGTCTCATTGGTTACCGTGGCAAAGTAATACAGGAAATCTACACTGCTGTTCGCTGGGGATGCAGATCACAAATGCAGTTACAGTTAGATGAGAGGCAATGGGCCGTTGATGAAGTGCTGGGGGATGTTTCTTTTACCGATCACATTGAAGGTGAGGTGTCCGTCACTCTTGGCTTGGAGTTTCCACTTGCCGGGCTGTATGGGGGACGTGAGGCTGATGCGGTACAGACCTTCGAAGTGCTCCAGCTCTGCCAGAGGGCCTCGCTGGCTCAACAGGGACTGGCTTTGGTCTAATGAGAGGAGCAAATTCAACAAAGTTTACATACGGCCCCAGAACAAAAATAATGAAGCTGCCTCAAGATGGCCTTCAGCTTTGCCCTGCAGTTACCTGATGGGCTGGTGAGGACACACTCGATCAGGAGGCCAGTGAGGTGCAGCGTGACGTTCTTCACTGAGCTGTCCACTCTGAAGGAGTGCGAGGACGTCGACTCTTCGTCACTTTCCACATGGAGGAGGGTCACCTGGAGAGGGAGGAGACAGAATGAGGGACAACTTCTATGGATCCCAAAGAAGAAGAAAAGCACGGAGTAGCCTTCCTCGTCTTAGGAATACATTTTCCGGGTTCAGCGGGATCCTGCTGCCGTACCTTGTCCACGGCTGTGTTGTCCTCCACTATGGCTGAGACACTTCGGATGTCAGAGTTGGTGGTGAATATCGTCGCTCCTCCGGAGAGGGAGGACAGGGAGGAGTAGAGAGAGAATCGATCCGGGGACAAAAGTTCCCTTCTCTTCCTCCTCCTCCTCTTTCTCCTCCTCCTCCTTCCTCTGCTATGCAATGCGTAACTTGGGTCTTCAGTCAGGAGAAAAGTCACCTGTTGGAGAAACGGCCCATGACGTGAGCGATTGTTGAGCAGAAAAAGATGATGATGTTTGAGATGTTACATCCCCATAAATTAAAACTTTTATTAGAGAGGAATTCTCTTCCAAATAAAACACCTACCTTGCTCTGTTTCTCAAGCGCGAGGGCCTTCACCACGTCGAACAAGTGGGCGTCTTTAGGGGAAGCATCGGTAAACACAAAGATCTCTGACAGCGGTGGACTGTGAGTGAGGGCCAGCTGAAAACACACGTTTAAGTCAGCTAGTGCACGTGTGCTCACACCCGATCACAGGAGACGCCGTATTCAAATTCACCTGAATGGCAGAGAGACACATCTCTGGTTCGTCCCCTCCTCCCAGCGCCATCAGGTTCTCCATGTGCTGCATGAACTCATGTGGGTCATCGGTCTCGTAGACCGGTCCTACCTCTGCAAAACGACAGGAGATACAAAGGTAAGATGACGGTTGAAAGTGCATGAAGGCTTAAACCGTGAGGTGATTTGTTCCACCCCCACCGGGGTCGTGGAAGGGCACGAGTAGAAAGGTGCCGGGCTGCCCGGGGCTGCTGGCTCGGCTCTGGATGATGGAGTGGGCCCGGTAGCGGGCGGCGGTGATCTCCTCAAACATGCTGCCCGTGGTGTCCATGACGAACACCAATGCTGGGACCTGCTTCACGCTGAAGAGCCTGTTTGAAAGGACGTGGAGAAGCAACAAACTAAATTGTATTGTTTAATTCAACAACCCCTGAGAATACAACATGTCAGCCAACAAAGGTGGAAACTGTTCTCAAAGTCGACCTGAGGAAGGTTTTTGGGCCCACGGTGTCGCTGATGTCTCTCAGCACACTCACGGTGGCCTCCATAGCCAGCTTGGAAGCCTCCATGTGGAGGTAATGGTGAGGTGAGAAGAGAGGTGAGGTGCTGTCCTTGTTGATGCCCCCTTTGGCCCCCATGTAACGGCTACGGTCCAGAATACCGCCATGACTACATTTGCCTGACAAACCAATATATTTGAAAGGTTGATAAAGCATGTTCAAAAAGTGCCACTCTCAAAAGTAAGCAACTTTCCACATAAAAAGATCTTGTACAACATTGCTGTCAACATAAACAAGTTAATCTATGCGATTAATGTGGCCGATATTAATGCAACAAAATATTTTAATGTAGTTAACGTACGTTTTTGTTTAAGTTGACCGCGGAAACAAAACGGCCGCTAGCTGCAGTCAGTTACATCGGAGAAAGCAAGACTCAAGATGGAGAGAGCTGTTTGCATTGGAAGTTAAACAAACTGAGGCACGACATACAGCGGAGAACTGTGCAGAGGAATTACTCCACGTGTCAAACAGAAGGGGGGTGAGTGGCAAATGGACCACGTAAAGCACCGCTGTGCTAAGCTAGCTGGAAGAGTTGCTAGTTCAACGTGTTCCACCCGGTGGAATTCTGCCTCTAAGATGATCAAATGCTTGTAGTTTCATGTAATTTAACAGTCTGAAATACACGTTTTTTGAAGCGATTACTCTTTACTTGTAAGATTTAGTTATTAGAAGAAAAAAAAAACATTCATTAATTGCGATGAATGAATTTCAAAATGTGTGATTAATTAGTTACTTTTGTTTAATCTATTGACAGCCCTAATATATATATTATATACATGTTTGGCAGGACTCCTGCTTTTGGATGCTGAAGTTCCAAAGACATACCGTGAGGTTTTGGAGGAAAGGTGCTGAAGTAGCCAGTGGTTAACAGCTGTGCGTCCTGCTGTGCGTTTGTCAGTCTTGGCATGAGGTTGTCTCGACAGGTGAGACTGAAGCACTCCATGCAGGTAGGTGTGTCTTCTGTGGGCCGATGGGACCGGGGGGTTAGTGTATTATTAACGAGGCCCGTTATTTCTCCCAATCATTACAGCATTTAAAAAACATACGGTCAATTTACAGAAGAGAAAATGATTTCTTTGCAATTGATATAATCTCAATATTCTGCAATAGATAAAAACACCGGAACTAAATAAAAAGTGTGTGTCAAGGAGAAGAGGGGAAAAAAAGATGACAGTATTAATCCTGTGATCGCAGATGTGAAGAGTTACCTGCAGCCAGGGGGAAGGCCGGCTCCTCTGGCTGCAGCAGGTGGAGGTAAATGAAGCGCTGGCCCATCTCCACCCAGTTACTGTGGCTGTAAAAGTCCTAGCATTACAAAAGTGACATTAAGATGTGATTGTCATTGCAACATTGCGACATTGCGTCATTGCGACACACAAGTTGACATCCGTCAACGTGCAGTGCGGAATATGTGGAACGTTCAAAGAGGCTGGGAAACTGGGGAGTTCATTCAGGATCATTTTGAAGATTGGTTTATGACATAAAAATAAACATTATGACTGAAATTGTGAATGTATTTTGAGGCTGCACAAATGGAAACGTCACAGACTTTTTAGTCACGGCTGAGGAGAATCTCTAAAGTAAATTCTTCATTAGGGCGCCATATTTCTTTAACAAAACTCCATTCACAGTGAAAAATAGGATTGGAAGGTGCTGTTCAAAAATACAAAAAAATCTAATCTTTTTGATAGCAAAGTCATTTTGGGGCTAAATGTAACATAAAAATGCAATACCTCATGGCACATTTACACATGTTTGTACATGATAAAAATTTCTTTCTGTCTTTATTTGGCAAAATATCAAATTACTTTTGCTTAAGGTATGTTTCTAACTGCATATGACACAATATAGCCTGGGAAAATAACCCAGATATTGTCAAATGATTCCTTTTTATTTCCTTCCAATTCCATGACTTTTTGTCATAATATTATATTATGTCTTAAAGGTTCCTGTGCTTCTTAATTTAAGCACTGACTTTGTTTCTATGGTCAAAGAAATGCTCCCACAAGAGGCCAACCACAGGAACCTCTGAATCATGGTGCCATTCCCCACCGCTCTCGCTATGGCCACCGGACCTTCTTTACGGTGCCGTGTACCTGCAGGGAGTGAAACAGCTGGCCCAAGCTGTGTCGAGCACTCTGGTACTCTTTGGCTCGTACCGAGAGCAGAGTCTGAGCCCAGAACTGCCGCAGCATCGCCATGGCGCCGTCCACGCGCTCTGAGTCAAAGTGGTACACCGGGTCGGACCGGGTGGAGCTCAAGAAGTCCATGGCTGCATTGGACTTCACCACCTCTCCCACGGCTCTCCAGAAGCCACGGCCCAGTCCGGTCTGGGAGGGATGGACCGCAGAGTTTTGTTATCGTCATCATTTTTATCGGCTCCAGAAATTAAATTTAAAGCGACATTTTAACATAAAAGCTTTCACGTAGGTTATTAAAGTAAATACAGGATCACCTGTTCCTCTGCATGGTTCCCATGGTGTTTTTTGATGACCCTCAGAGTCTCCATGGTGACGTTGAGAATGGCCTGCTCTGTGATTTGCTGGTGAGTGTGCGAGTTCCAAGACAGCGTCAATACTCGCGACCAAAAGTTGGGGAGGAAGCCCGTACACGGCAAAGCCAGGAGGAGAAGAGAGGCCAGAACAAACGCCGGCTTTCCATTCCCGGCCCACAGTCTTCCTCTGTCCTGTGACATCATGTCCTCCACATGGGGTGAGGAAGTCACAGCTGCATGAAATAAAATAAAGGTTTTTGCCGTTACCTTTGATTGAAAATGCAAAAAAAGAGCCAAAGTGCTCTGTAGAGCATCAGGTAATTTGCGACAGCATAGGGAAAAAGCATTTTATTGCTGCCTTGAAAAGGACACCAATGTTGAGCACATGTGTGATGTAATAGTGTACTAAAATAAAAAAAACATATAGAACAGAATGACACCCAGGAAAGAGACGGACAGGCCAAGGGCGAGTGAAGTGCATTGTTTGTTTGTTTCCAATAAGGCCCAACGGCTCTGGTCCAGCTTATCGGCCTGAGGGCTATTGCACGAAACCAGTGACCTGTTGAATTTATGAAAACATCATTTCAATCTAAAAAATATGAATAAAATGTATTCCTGCTGAAGGTCGAAAATAGTCAATAGTCTAAATCTGATGTTTGTGTACGTAATAATGTTAAATCTATCCAAATCAGAAGGTAACACATAATGCACAACCTTAAAGATATATTTATGGTTAACAAATCCATTAAAATGTTTTTTTTTAAATGTTTAATTATTGTTCAACTCATAAATCTACACACACGAGTCCCAAAATGTGTCATTTATTGGGTCTGGAACTTGATGACAAACATAAGCTCAGATAACATTACAAAAAATATCCCAATACACCTCAATCCACTACTGCAAAATCCTCAACGTGTTTGTTAATACAAGCACCTGTCAGATTGTAACTTGATCCACAGTTCCTTTAAAAATGTTTTATGCCGTAATTGTTGCCTGTTAGAAAGGCATGTGTGAATTTAGCTGAGCTGAAAAACCTAGGGTTTCCTTTACGATAAGTGAAAGGCATTTCCCGCTTGCTAAATGGGTCGAGGAGAAACGACCTGACCCCTTTTGTTCAGCAGGGTTTTGTTCTTATTTGATCATTTTGCGCCAGTCATCCATGCGTCCTCATGTCATCACCCACTCCTTAAAACCCCCCACCACAGGAAAAAAAAAAACTCTCATTTTCTCAGCTTTGTCTGTACAGAGGCCACTATTGTTCTTAGTCATCTTTATTCGGATACAAGACTCAGTTTTTGTTCTCGTAGCTTTCACAAGGCTGAGACCAAAACAAAGCACGTGGCCTATAAACGGCATACAATGCAAACAGCCAGCAGTCGAAACTGAGAAGGGAAAAAAAGGTTCCTCCTTTCACTCATTTTCCAGGAGTGATGAATTCTCTGACACACGTACATTGATTATTAATTTGACAAGTATTTAAACATGTTTTAAAGAAGCTTATCATGTTTTGCTGAGATTGCTGATCTAATTCAGAATATGTTGTACAACTTCTCCTTCATCACAGTTCAATGTCAGCAAGGAACGTACAAAGTATTTATTCAACACCGAAGTAAAACAATGGGCAAATGCTGTAGAGTAAAAATGTACATTAAAGTTTGCTCATTGCTTAACATTTTGCTTAAACCTGTAGATTTCCACACAAAATGAAATTGCTCACCTCAGTTCATAGCGGCAGACTTTCTTTTTCTAGAAGAAGTTGTGCAGACACCGCAGCATTTAGCAGAGACATCACAGTCCTGTACGTGCAGAGGAACGTCACACGCGCACCTTCATGTCACGCCGCAGACTTTCACGCAGCGTGGGAGGAAATCCGTGTATCACTGCAAAGTGAAAGTGTTGCGTCTTCACATGTGTCTGTCCTCGGGGCTCTTGTCTCTTGGACTGCGGGGGCACGCCATGAGGCAGAAGACGTGTCGTCATAGCTCCCCGACCGCCTTGTACCCCTCCTTACCCCCCCCCGATTAAAGCACGGGGCATTGATTCACCACAATAGGCCTGCATACATTACTGGCCAGGGTGTTCTACTTGCACCCCCCCCCATCACCCCGCCACTGACCCCCACCCTTCAACCGTCACTCTCTCTCTTGCCAACAAAAACCCCCAAAACTGCTTTTTACAACTGCAAACACCAGAGTCCCTTCCAGTCTTCCTAGTTCCCCACATTTCTAGTGTGAATGCTCGGAAGGCCTTCAGTTGCTAGCCAACGCTAGCGACAGTGTCAGACGTCGGTTGGATTGAATCTTGTAAAAGGAGGAGGTGAATTATTGGGGGCGGTGGGGGGGGTTCAGTTGTAGTCGAGGGTTTAGTTCTGGTATGTTTCTCAACTAAATAAGCCATTTAAAGATGGGTCATCCTGATGTGTTTAAACAGTGAGGGAGAAACAAAGGGACGAGGAGAAAAGGTTCAAATGCAGAGAGTGTTGTGAGTGAACCGAATCACAACATGATAGAATCAGGGAAGGACGGTTAAAACAACATTAAGACAGCGTGCAATGCATGTGACTCAGGAGGGAGTTTACAGTGGGGAAACTATTCTGCCAGACCTGTAATGTACTGGAGGCCAGCGGCACGAGAGGTTAGTGAATGGTTCCTGTCCACCTGCTGTAAGTTAGCCTAGTTGTCTTCAAACCTGATTCTGCAGCAGTATTTATTTGACCATTACAGAGCAGAGCGTCCTGCACAGCAAATTTCAGACAGTTAAATTGACTCTGTGAGATTCAATTTTAACTCTTAAGCTGGTGTTTATATTGTCCCAATCTTGTCAGTGTTAAATCAACACTCAACGAAGTGTTAACAAGTGAACTCGGAATAAGTGTCAACAATAAATCTGCCCAGTGTTAAATACATTACAGGTCATTTAGCTGACACGTTTATCCAAAGCGACTTACATCGCATTTTTAACCCATGGTTTTTTAGCGTGGGGAGCAATTAGGGGTTAGATGTCTTGCTCAGGGACACTTTGACATGGGACATGTAGCATCCAGGGTTTGAACCGCCAACCTCATGGTTCCCAGCTCTCCCTCTCTACTCCACGCGCCACAGTACGTTAAGTTAAACCGAACACCAGGAAGTGTGACAGTGTACAGTTACATTTCAAACCTATCAAAGAGTTAATTTAACTCTATTGAGTGTCACAAATCAATCTGATCTTGACACTGAATAATGACTCCAGCTGTTTCATATAATTGACTCTGTAAGAGTTGAATCTACTTTTTGCAGTGCGATTTCAACTCTGCACTCACTCACACTTTTGCCGAACACTGGAAAATTAAGTAAGAATTTTGCTGTGTACAGACTGTGGCCAGGAAACGGAAAATTGTTTACTTGTAGAAATCAATCCCTGAGGGTTCTCATGACATTTAGTTTCACCACAAAAACCTCTTAGTTTGCAAAAGCCTGAACTCGTTTCTCGACCACATCCTCATCCAGGGGAGGCGTCTCTCACAGAAGTCTGTACAGGCAGACATGAAAAGACGTTTTAGGCAGCTTTGTATTTATTTTTGTTAACTAACTAAAACTGAAAACTTTGCTCTGAATAAATTAAAGGAGCTTCTGGTGCCGCGGAGCATGTCGGGTCGAGATTCTCACAATAACTCAAATAAATGCTTCATGATGAATGAAGAAAAATATTGATGAAAAATAAAGAATGGTCTTCAAGTTCATTAAATTCTCAATAATATACTTTACATACTTAAAAAATATATCTACGCTCCCGCAAGCTTATCAATTAAACTGCGGATCAGACTACGCATGCGCACAACGCGCGAGCAGAAAGTACGAAAATATATCATTTTAAATTTTATTTATTTATTGGTAACTATTATATATTATTTCAAGAAAACAACATGCGTAACTGGTGTGCCGTGCACAGTTGAGTGCGCAGCTTCATGCCGAGCGGAATTCCGCAGCATTTTTGTGGCGGGACAACTCCACCTGCCAGCTGCGTGGACTGGAAGAAGGGCACGTGTGTGACGGCGCAACCCCACTCAGAAGGCTTCCGTGTTGGAAATCCAGACGCTCACTGCAGCAGACGACACTTACTTCAGAGGTGGGCCACTGATATTGTTTCGTGGATTATTCGTTTGTAGTGTTAGGCCAAGTCAGGTGAAACAAAATGACGATTTATAAACGCAGATTCTCCCTTTTCAGTAAATAATAACATACATTAATTCCTGGTTAGAGATGAAACAAACAGACAAACCCACAGGTTTAAAATACCAATAAATGAATAAATGTTACCTTTCACAGATAGCTTCCTGTAACCTGTGGAACAGGCATGATGGTGAACCCCTGTTCACTCTATTCACCATTCAGAGTTGATATAAAGCATGAACAATTCATTAACAATGTGCAAGAATGATTGTCCTGTGTGTGTGTGTTAAAAATGCAAATGCAATGTATGTCGGTTTGGATAAAAGCGTCAGCTAAATGACATGTAATGTAAAATCTCAATGTATTTTAGGACGCTGAAATTATGTCACTCATTTGATCTTTTATCAGTGATTGGCTAAACTGAGCCGCCTCTTTGGGACCTTGCCTGAGCCCAGCTGAAACATGCCGAAAAGCGTGTTTGCACAGATATCTTCAATGTTTCAAACACAAATCGGCACATATTGACTATTTGTAAAATATATTGTTTATATAATTCAAAATGAATATAATTTATAAATATAAATAAATGTAATTTATATTGTGGCTCAAGGTGGGGCCACGCCCCATTGCCGCCACTGCAAGACCCACTTTTATTCTGAAGCAGTATTTATCTATAAATTCGGGGACTCTAATTATGTACATCGACCACACACACACAAAAAAAGTCCCTCTTCAACCGTCCACCCGGCCCCCCTCGTGCTCGCACACCTAACAGACGTCTCTGCCTGCGTCGTGTGACTCACAACTGCCGCCGCCGCTGGCTACTCTTTCCTCTTTCCTCTGCGCTTTTATTTTTGATACGCGTGCATCTCCGCAACTCAGTGAGTGACGTAATAATCGATAATGAAATTCGAACGCTATTAATAATCGAAATTTTATCGATTTCATCAACTCGTTGTTGGAGCCCTAGTTCTCTCCCAATAATTCGTCATGAATTAATCCTATATTGGAGACATCCTTATGTTGAAGGGTTGTGGTTGTAGATCGTCTGTGTGTTTCTGGCTGCAGTAAGAGTGAAGACTACAACCAGAAGACCATGGAAGAGGCTCTGAAGAAAGTGGAAGAGATGGAGGCTGATCTGGGAGGAACTGAGATCCTTGAGCCACTTAAACACATTTACAGACAGCCCTCCATTCCCAGTAAAATTCCCAGTAAATAAAAAACATAATTTTTTTATTTAAGACGAGGTGCTACTTTTAAGTTGCTGTGTACTTCTACTAATTCCTCAGAAAAAAATCATTTACAGGATCTGTACGTACTGTCCTGAAAAAGGATCTCGATGTCACTCTAAAATCAACGCATGCTGTGTGTTTTTTTTTGTTTCGTGTGATGTTGTGTAACTTTGTGTGAACTCTCCTCATCAGCTATTTGTCTTTACTGACGGAGAGGTGGCGAACACAAAAGAAGTCATAAATCTGGTGAAGCAGAATTCAGCCTCCCACAGGTCAAAGAACAAGAAAATCAACACAATTGCTAAAATAAGTCCCATGTTTAGGTGCTGGGTGTGTAAAAACCAGCCCACTGTGTTGTAGGTGTTTCTCCTTTGGGATCGGGGAAGGGGCCAGTTCTGCTCTCATCAACGGGTTGGCCAAAGAAGGAGGAGGCCACGCTCAGTTCATCACAGGGGCCGACAGGATGCAGCCCAAAGTAACACACCGCTGCCTTCATGTCAATGGAAAATCAAATCACCACCAAAACATGATTACTTAAATGGTTCTTACTCACCAGGTGATGCAGTCGCTGCGGTTCGCTCTGCAACCGTCCGTGGTGGACGTCTCAGTCAAGTGGGATCTGCCGAGCGGAGTCTCTGTCACCGCTCTCTCTCCACCGATCGCGGCACTTTTCCAGGGTCAAAGGTCACTGGTTTACGCCCAGTTCACTGGACAGGTAGGAGCACCACCATCTTATAGTGGAACTACTCTCTCGTTAGATTTGTCAGGTCAGCAATGATGGAAGAAATGGTTTGTGACACTGATGTTACCTCAGAGTTCGGAGGCGTCAGAGGGCTGTGTGACGGTGGCCTACAGCCTGGCAGGCCATCCCTCTCAGACCCAGCTCCACTTCAGTCTCAAACCTGCAAAGGTGTAAAGCAGCACAATTATGCATTGGGTCCTGTCAAGCTTAGGTTGTTAAGCTTCTGAAGAAACATAAAACATCAGTTAATTGTTAAAACCCAATCACATTTGGTTTCTGTTATTTTCAGATAAAACTAGAAATCCTGCATAAAAATAAATTAAACATACATCACATAGCCAACAAAACATGGAAACCCTGAGAATCACTGCAGCACAACAATAAAAATGCCTCATGCTATTTTTCTATAATTTTAACAACACCGTAAATGACGCCTGGAGGACAGGAAGACGCAGGAGGGAAGAAGAAGGTGGTGGACCTCAGCGTCCAATCAGGAGTGAGCAGTGTCTTCACCGCCTTCATTGCTGCTTCATAGCATTTGTCTCACTTTAGCCCACAGTCACCATTTTAGAAAAAACATCTTAGCAATTCAGGCTAATCTTCAGCTAGCATCAATCACATGGTTTTATATATTGGAAGTGCATCGACAAACCACACAGGACCAATTTCTCCATCGTGGCAAGGGGGGAATGGGAGGGGCTTGAAAACGCAATGGTCACAGGACCAGAAATGTGTGTGGATCAGATCCTGACCTCATACCTTTCAGTTTTTTTTCTCTACGACCGGATGGACCGTTATCAGCCACTGAATCCTCCATCTTCCATTGGTAGTCTTTTGAGTAAGTAAAAACGCATACCTGTGTTTTCTACACACATTTTTGAGATATTTTGAATTATTTGATCCTGTTGTTAGTCATTGTAATACGTTTTGTTGATATTTTTGGTTTAATTAAAAATTATGTAATATTACATTAAAATATGTTTAAGACAAAACTTAACTTTGTCTCACTTTACCCCACAGTCACCATTTTAGAAAAAAACAACATCTCTTAGCAATTCAGGCTAATCTTCAGCTAGCATCAATCACGTGGTTTTATATGTTGGAAGTTTACCGACATGTATGATGTAAGTTTATCTACCTGAATCAATTTGTTTTGACACAACAGTTGATGAAGTTCATAGCAAGAAAAAAACACATTTTTGTGAAAAAATTTCTCCTTCATGGCAAGGAGGGAATGGGAGGGGCTGGAAAACACAACGTGTTCCGTTGTCGTTTCCTTCACGCTCTCTCGCGCGCGCTCCGCGGTGAACGTGCGCGTTCTCGTGGCTGTTGTTGCTGCTGCGCTCGACGAGCTCGACTGCAGTCGGCGCTCCCTCGTCTCTGCTTCAGCGCAGCCGGTGGAAGTGACTCTTAACTTTGTGGTTTGTCACTTGACATCGTTCTGCTTTAGAAACCTCGCAAGTTGTCTCCGGATATTTACAAGAGGAAACTTCTGAAACGTTGTCGCGTGGAGATCCATCCTCAGAGGTAAAAGTTAGTCTGCTGTGTGTTTATTTAGATAGTGCTTATCGATAATGTTTTGGATTACAACACGCACAGCACGCGCAATCCGAATTGATTCGGGATACTGTTTGTGCCCCATTGGTTTGGGATTTCTGAAGGAACTTTACTGGAATACCGCGATGCTCTATAAAGAAATAGAATAACATACCTTAAAAAAAACACCGGATTGTTAAAATAGAAGTACTTTATTGATTCCCTCGGGGGGAAATTCAAGATCCGGGTAGCTCCTGACAATGTACAAACATAATATACACATGCAGTTAAACTATTAAAAGGGGTTTATCAAAGAAAAAATAAAGTTAAAACACACATCATTATTGTTATCGTTGTATTCTGTAATTTTCCGTCCTGGATATCTTGTTTTAGTCTCATCAATAACATTAAGCAAACAGTTATCCAGATCCATTGTATAAAAAAGTGTGTAGACGGGTTTCCTAATAAAACTCAGCTAAACAATGAAGACACAGAATGAACCAAGAAGGGCGCAGCAGAGCAGCAGTGTGGGAGGAAACGTGTGTTTGTATTATTATTACTATTAACAGTTTTTGACGTTGGTAATTTTTACATTTGCAAAATGTATTCTTTATTCTGTAAATTGTGTTTTTAGCTTCAATCTTCTGGTAGGATTCATACAGTAGCCTACCAGTCAAAGTTTAGACACACCTTCTATTTCAAGTGAAGGTGTGTCCAGACTTTTGAATTGTATACAAATATATATAATGGATGATTAGTTGTTTTTATAAAAGCGTACCTTGCTCGCTGCAGAATGTCCAGTAGCTGTTGTTACCATCCACCCCAGCAGCATGAAGTCCTCAAACGTCCTCTTTGATTGTTGCACAGGTATGATGGTGAGCTGCTGTGGTCTAATAACCTCTCAGACGGAACCAGGTACAAACGTCCATCATTCTTTGTACTTCAAATATAAAAAAACATTTCCATTTTCAGAATGCATCCTGCTTTGCACACTATTGGAGGCAGGATGCACTTCTTGGTTTTACAGGTCTTCTGATGCAGCGGAAACATGAAACCGTTCAGTAAAGAATAAACCTCAACAACGTAGGAAAGCATGTTGTGTTCACTGTGTTTCCATCTGCTGCTCGCTCAGTTCCTCTGAAGAGCGTGGAGGTGGAGCTGGAGGTGAAGGACCACGTGGCTACTGTGGTCTCCACTCTGAACTACCACAACCAGGAAGACAAACCACTGGAGGCTGTCTTTGTCTTCCCCCTGCCTGGAGATGCTGCCGTCTGTCATTTCAGCGCTACTGTTGGACAGACGGAGATAGTGGCGGAGGTGAAGGAGAAACAGGAGGTGAGCTGCACAGCAACGACCTTCTCTCAAAGGAGCTGTGAAACGCAGCCAGTGTTTCACTCGTGCTTTCTGTGTTTCAGGCCCGTGAGGAGTACGACGACGCTCTGAGCTCCGGTCAGCAGGCCTTCCTGTTGGAGGAGAGCGAGCAGAGTCCAGATGTATTCTCTCTGAGTGTGGGCAGTCTGCCTCCAGGAGAGAGCGCCTCCATCAGGCTGGAGTACGTCACTGAGCTGGCTGTGCAGGCCGATGAAGGGCTGAGGTTCCTACTGCCCGCTGTGCTCAACCCTCGCTACCAACCTCAGGGTAGGAAAAGCAGCCAGCAGCTTCTTCAGGAGCCCTCAAGCTTCAACTTGGAGCACAACACACCTGTACACGTCAATGGCCTCTTGTTGTCTTGGGCTTCATATCTGAACGTTTTTACCTCATTGACAGGGAGCGTTGGTAGTGAAGGGTCCAACGTCCAGGTGACCTCTGTTCCAGCCTCTCTGGTGCCCTACACTCTGTCTTTCTCTGCCCGAGTGTCCTCTCCTCGTCCCGTCTCCAGAGTAGAGTCCAGCTCTCCCCTGGACCCTCCGCAGTACCTCAACACAGAGCAAACCCAGGCCACGGTAGGTAGAGTGCTGCTGATGAATGTTTCCATCACGGAGAAGAAGAGATGTATTGGTAATGACTTGTGATGTTTGTCTGGTGAACTGCAGGTCAAGTTGGCTGCAGGACACAAGTTTGACAGAGATGTTCAACTGCTGATTTATTACAAAGATGCCCACCAGCCCTCTGCGATGGTGGAGGCAGGACAGGCCTCTTCCCAGCCTGGTGAGTTTACATTTAAACTGATACATGTAGTATGGAGTTGTAATGTGTTGGGATGAGTAATAAAAAGACAGATGCATGATCATTTCCTCTGTGTTCAGGCTCTCTGATGGGTGATTCAGTAGTGATGCTGAGCCTGTACCCAGAGTTCCCTCAGGCTGTGATGTCCTCAGTGGCTTCATCTGGAGAGTTTGTCTTCTTATTGGATCGATCCGGCAGTATGCATGGAGAGTGTATAAAGAATGCCAGGGTACTAATTATGTCTTATTCCTCTCATGAACACATTTATAGTGTATGTCTCTCACAAAGTGACCCTCATCTTATTCTCCTCCCTTAAGGAGACTCTGCTGCTCCTGTTGAAGAGCCTGCCGCTCGGCTGCTATTTTAACATCTACAGTTTCGGTTCCAGCTTTGAACACATCTTCCCGTGAGTCACTTAGTCCAACAAAAGTGTGATTTATGACCAGTGGTGGCTGGTGGATTTTCTTTTTTTTTGTAAGGACAGACAATCAGTTTCTGCAAACATCCCAGAATGATTCAATACTAAATTCTATTCAGAATATAACTACCATAATCGTGACTATTATAAATATCATATAATAAATATATGATATTTAAGGATAAATGTATTTATATCGAATCCTAAACCTTGTGTGTCAGGAAAAAACCCAATCATTGTGTTGAGGAAAGACCAACTCCAAAGCCCCAAAAAACGTCACACAATGAATTATTTTGGATAAAATGTCCCTGTTTTCACCCATGTCCTGGTTGTGTGTCCTCGCCGCAGTCCTGTGTGCGTCGCAGCTGCGTAGCGATGTTAACTTTAATAAGGCGGCGTTGTGCGCGAATATATGGCGTTAGCATGTAGCTAACTAGCTAGCTAAACATCCCGGTGTAGCATCTCTACAGAAGCTTCATATCTGCGGCTTCCCTTTCACGCCGGTCCGTTGTCTGATTGTGAGGTCAGGCTGATCTGGGTCCAGCTGTTTTACCTCTACTTTCTCCGGCAAAGTTTAAAGTTCAGAGTTTGGGTCTTCTTGGAAGGACACTGCCGGTGGTCGCTCTTGTTTTGTTGTTAGACAGCGTCGGAGACTCGCCCTGATGAGAGCGCAGCGTAGGGCGGCGTAGGGCGGCGAAGGGCGAGCCCAAATCTCAATGCATTTTAGGACGCTGAAATTATAATGTCACTCATAAACTTTATCAGTGATTGGCTAACTGCTTTTAGACCCGCTGCCTTTGGGACACAGCTTGAGCCCAGCGGAGACAGGAAAAGCATACATTTATACAGATATCTTAATTTACAAATATGATTCAAGTATATAATCCACATTTAAAAATCACAAAAATACAAATATTGACTATTTGTAAAATGTATTTTCATAATAATAAACAACAAAAATTAAAAAAAAAATCATTTTTTTTTTTAAATCCTTTTTTTCTCCGTTGCTCACGGTGGGGCCACGCCCGCTGTCCTCCATGGACCAGCCGCCACTGTTTATAACTATTTTATAATACGGGTAGATGAAATCCAGCGTTCTGATTGGTTGACAGTGAGTCACGCAGGGTTCATTATTGGGCGATAATGTACAGTTGCTCTTCACATTGAACCTGCGCGTTCAATTTCACTGCACACTCAAAGTAACAGGTTAGATTTTTGGTTAGATTTTCATTTAGCTAACGCTTTTATCCAAAGCGACTTACAATAAGTGCATTCAACCACAAGGGTACAAACTCAGAAGAACAAGAAACAAGAAAGTGCAATTTCCTCAAATAAGCCAATTTTACAATTTGCTATAGATGAGTGACGTTACAAGTACAATTTAAGTGCTACAATTTGTTAGTCTTTTAGTCGAGGTAGAGTCTGAAGAGGTGTGTCTTTAGTTTGCGGCGGAAGATGTGAAGGCTCTCTGCGGTCCTGATGTCTTCAGAGAGCTCATTCCACCATTTCGGAGCAAGGACAGCAAAGAGTCGTGATCTAGTCGAGTGTTTTGCTCTCAGTGAGGGAGGGACGAGCAGTTTAGCAGATGCAGAGCGGAGAGTGCGGGTCAGGATGTAGGGTTTCACCATGTCCTGGATGTAAGCTGGACCCGATCCATTCACAGCATGGTAGGTGAGCACCAATGTTTTGAACTGGATGCAGGCAGCCACCGGTAGCCACTGAAGAGAGCGCAGGAGTGGAGTAGTGTGGGAGAATTTCGGAAGGTTAAAGACCAGTCGAGCTGCTGCATTCTGGATGAGCTGCAGAGGTCGAATGGCAGTGGAGCGAGTTGCAGTAGTCCAGGCGTGAGATGACAAGAGCCTGAATCAGTACCTGGGCAGCCTTCTGAGTAAGAAGAGGACGTATTCTCCTGATGTTGTAGAGCATGTATCTACAGGATCCTGTCGTCGCAGTGATGTTGGGAGTCAGGGAGAGTTGGCTGTCGAGTGTCACGCCGAGGTTCCTAGCGGTTAAAGTGGTTCAGTCTTGTCGGGGTGGATTTTCGGTGGTGGGCGGACATCCACTGAGAGATGTCAGTCAGACAGGCAGAGATCCGTGCCGCCACCTGGGTGTCCGAGGGAGGGAAGGAGAGAATTAGTTGTGTGTCATCGGCATAGCTGTGGTAGGAGAAGCCATGCGAGCGAATGACAGCTCCGAGAGAGTTGGTGTAGAGCGAGAAGAGGAGGGGACCCAGGACGGAACCCTGAGGAACTCTCGTAGTAAGAGGACAAGGTTCCGACACAGATCCTCTCCAGGTTACCCGGTAGGTGCGGCCGTCGAGGTAGGACGAGAGAAGGGAGAGAGCAGAGCCTGAGACACCAAGTTCCTGAAGGGAGGAAATAAGGATCTGGTGGTTGACTGTGTCAAATGCAGCAGAGAGGTCCAGAAGGATGAGGACAGAGGAGAGAGAGGCGGCTCACTGTCTGGTGTCTACAACTATTTTGTGCTGAAAGGCAGCTATTTACGTACTATTTCTAATTTTGCTGAGAACTATATTATAAAAGCAACAAGGTACTTGAGGCAGTAATTTAGCTGCTTATTTAGCTACCTTATTGCTTAAATCACCACGGTGTAACCACTGACTATTGTTAAGGTCAAAGTTTTGAAATGTCCTCCCCCAATAATTGATGATGAATTAATCCTATAATGAAGGCATGCTTATGTTTAAGGGTTGTAGATCATCTGTATGCTGTAAAGTTTGTATGTTTCTGGCTGCAGTAAGAGTGAAGACTACAACCAGAAGACCATGGAAGAGGCTCTGAATAAAGTGGAAGAGATGGAGGCTAATCTGGGAGGAACTGAGATCCTTGAGCCACTTAAACACATTTACAGACAGCCCTCCATTCCCAGTCAACCTCGACAAGTAACACACACACACACACACACACACACTAAAACAGCAATGAAACACGTCTCTTTGAGAAATATGTTTGGATGACTCAACGCATGCTGTGTGTTTTTCCCATTGTTGCTGTGTGTAACTTTGTGTGAACTCTCCTCATCAGGTATTTGTCTTTACTGACGGAGAGGTGGGGAACACAAAAGAAGTCATAAATCTGGTGAAGCAGAATTCAGCCTCCCACAGGTCAAAGAACAAGAAGATCAACACAATTGCTAAAATAAGTTCCATGTTTAGGTGCTGGGTGTGTAAAAACCAGCCCACTGTGTTGTAGGTGTTTCTCCTTTGGGATCGGGGAAGGGGCCAGTTCTGCTCTCATCAACGGGTTGGCCAAAGAAGGAGGAGGCCACGCTCAGTTCATCACAGGGGCCGACAGGATGCAGCCCAAAGTAACACACCGCTGCCTTCATGTCAATGGAAAATCAAATCACCACCAAAACATGATTACTTAAATGGTTCTTACTCACCAGGTGATGCAGTCGCTGCGGTTTGCTCTGCAACCGTCCGTGGTGGACGTCTCAGTCAAGTGGGATCTGCCGAGCGGAGTCTCTGTCACTGCTCTCTCTCCACCGATCGCAGCACTTTTCCAGGGTCAAAGGTCACTGGTTTACGCCCAGTTCACTGGACAGGTAGGAGCACCACCATCTTATAGTGGAACTACTCTCTCGTTTGATTTGTCAGGTGAGCGATGATGGAAGAAATGGTTTGTGACACCGATGTCTCCTCAGAGTTCGGAGGCGTCAGAGGGCTGTGTGACGGTGGCGTACAGCCTGGCAGGTCATCCCTCTCAGACCCAGCTCCACTTCAGTCTCAAACCTGCAAAGGACTCTGGGTAAAGCAGCACAATTATGCATTGGGTCCTCAACATTTTTGAGGACCAAAAATGTTGAGTTCATTTTCATTATTGAGATCAAATCAAAGGACCGAGGAAAGAGGAGCTCTTTGACTTTAGCGAGAAGTGAGAACCAAGGAACTGTCCGTTAAGAGAGTATTGTACTGATCAGTGCTGTAGTGGTAAAATTAGAGGTGGGTAAACTCTGAATTTTGTGATCATACAGACCTTGACGCGAAGCAACGCAACACAAAGCGTCGCGACTCTGTAAGGCTGTCCTGGCTATATTGCATTATGTTATCAGTAAAAGTCATATACAATCAATGACAATGAATAAATGTGTTAGTAGTTTGTAGTTTATTAAATTTAAGAAAACAGTAAAGTATGTCAAAACAACAAGACAATTGCAGATTAAGAACTATCTACATATGGAGTCTCCTTTTTACAGTAGTGCCCAGAGGGCCTCCTTGTCCTCCACGTCAGGTCCTGCCTTGCACAGAGGAGCCATGAACCCCAGAACGCGCGTTCTGGGGTTCATGGCTCCTCTGTGCTTCTCCTCTCTCTATTGGACCTGGTGTCTCTCCTCTCCCTGTGCTCTCTGCATCATTGCCTGTCCTCTCACTGCCTGAAAAAATATGTTGAATTTAAGAGTTAACCAGTTAAGCAGCCTGTCAATTACACTGACAACATAAGTTAAAGGAACACTCATGTACTACCTATGTCATCATAAATAGCCTATACAGCATGTTTTTTTTCACATTGAGAACTGACTTGTTTTCTAATCTACGCGTCACCAGGCGTTTTTATTGTCCTTTTACCGTGCACGACCAGCGAACACAGAGCGTGCGACTACTACCCCCCTCCCCCCCACGTCGGTCGTTCCGCCCGCAACGACTACTACACCCCCCCGTCGGACCTTCTCGACCGGTCCGCAAAATATTGTCTGTCATGAAACCCGTCCGTGAGGTAAGAAAGGTTGGGGACCACTGGGCTGATCCACAACGTGTATGTTTACACACCTCCTGGATCCTGATCGGTGTCGCTGCTGCAGCCGCAAGGCACTGATTGGATGCTCACAGACTGTAATACAGCGCAGATGAACATAATTCAGACTACGGCGTTTATATGTTCAACAATAGCAAACGTAGTCTTAGCTGTTTTAAAATTTCACCAAGTTTATTTCGGATTATTCCAAAGGAAGAATACAAGGCGCAGGGAACTTTGAGGTGCGTAAACGCCACTTAGAGGTGCGTAAACGCTATTTCCAAAATTCTAGAGGTGCGTAAACGGCGTTTACGTGCGTTTACCCTCCACTACAGCCCTGGCACTGATGCATTAAAGGTCTGCTCAGTGGCTGACGCACACAATGTGCAGAGCGGCCACGAATGTAATCATTTAGTCAAGAATCCCTGTAGAATCTCTTTGTTCTTTTTACTTCTGGACGTACATGAACCCTAAAAGAAATAATTAGTATGTGCATTATAATTTTGTACATCTGTGTTTTGTCTCTGCAGACTAACGGTCCACAGGTTGGCCGCTCGGACCGTGATCCGCTCTCTGGAGATGGAGGTGAGAGAGCCTGGAGGACAGGAAGACGCAGGAGGGAAGAAGAAGGTGGTGGAGCTCAGCGTCCAATCAGGAGTGAGCAGTGTCTTCACCGCCTTCATTGCCGTCAACAAATCCAACAGCGAAGCTATTCAAGGACCTCTGCTGCGCAGAACGATTCCAATATCCTGTGAGTCATTTCTATAGAAATATAACAGCAATACAGCTGACCATGAATGAAAATGTATGTAATCTTAACAATTTCTTTTTTTTTATCTCAAAGTGCTGAGGGGCTGCATGGTTGGTATTAAGTTCCATTCGAAGAGAAGTAAGTAAAACCTCTCTTAATGTAAGTAAACCTCAACAAATCTGAATTGGAGAGAAACTTTTGAGATATTTTAAACTATTTGAACTTCTTGGTAGTCACATAATGTCCCAATCCAGTAATTATGTCTATATTTTTGGCTTGGTTCTTAGCATGGCTCATGTATTCACCTCACGCTGTGTTTTTATGATCTCAAAGTGCCTCTGATGTGTTGTGATATGGCGCAGCTTCCTCAGATGTCTCTTAGTAATTGTATTTCTATAAATAGACTAAATAGATGTAAACAAAACTGCATCGTCTTAAATGTTCAATCCGGCAGATTACCTATGTTACCCTTGTAACGTGCTGACCACTTTATCTTCATCTTTTTAACTTCAAAGAGTAATATCAACATTTATCAATAACGATAATAAGTCACAAAGGGATTATCGGTAATAATATATAAGAAAGTGTCATCTCTTTTAAGTCAGTAGTAATGGAGATGGCGGCTTAAAGTCACCTACCTCGGCGATGACACTGTCTGGTTGGCTCAAGGAAAAGTGTGCTGGCCGTAAGTACTATTTTCCTGGACCACATCATACTGGTGTCACAATAACAGTGTTTACTGGGGGATCAATACAAACAATCACTTTCAGGGAATTTTGTTATTAAACCAAAAATGGCCAAAGACCTTTTTTACGTGACCATGGACTGTAATTCAGACAAGAGATACAAAGATAGACAACGGCTGGTATCTGCACATTAAAGTAGATCATATTTGTAAATTACCACATTAGATTGTGCCAAAGGCATTTAATGATTAAGTTCCATCCACTAGCTGCACCAGTGTTGCTGTTGGTGATTTAAATTGTCTTTTCTTTGTACTGTGCTTTCTCCAGAAGTGGTTAACACATTGAGAATGTCCCAATTTTACAAATTTAGTTCCTTCGTTATTATCCTTCCTTGTATAAATCTTTACATCAATTTCTTTTTTTCATCCCAAAGTGATGGGGCTTGCCTTTGGTCAAACGTCCTGTTCGATGGATAGTAAGTAAAACCTGTCTTAATGTATGATGAAGTACAACAAATCTGGATCGGATACCTATGTATTTCTACACACATTTCTACATGTTTGAGATATTTTGATTCATTTGAACTTCTTGTTGTTATTAATTGTAACAAGGTATTTTTGGTTTAGTTTTTAAGATGTCTTCACCTCCCGCTGTGTTTTTATTATCTCAAAGGGCAGAGGGCAGGTGGTATGCCGGAGCTTCCTCAGATGTCTCCTAGTAAGTATAAATCTAAAAAGATCTGATTGAATTTGTATAAATATGTATGAATATATATATATATATATATATATATATATATATATATATATAATAGACTAAAATTAATTTCAATAGAAGACAACACAATTCTGTGGCACAATTTCTCTGCTTGCTTCTTGCAGCTGCAATGTGATAATGAATGAATGTATGAACGGTAGGAGTTATTTTGGCCCCTGTTTGGGGGTAATTGACATAAGAAACACGTGATTGTCTAGTGCAGCATGCGATGAAGGCTGCGCTGCGTGTGGCTACACTGTGGCATGTGTGCAATCATTTTAAATGTACTGAACCCTTAAAGGGCCGCACGGTATGGCCAGAAATCCATATCACGGTATTAAAAAAGATTCTGAGGTGTCCCGGTATATCACGGTATTGCTTTTTCAAGTAAACACATTAATTCATTGACCCCCGAAAAAGACCGGGCCGCCCGCTGACCAAATTGCCCACAACTGGCCGACGAGTTAGCTTGTTAGCGTGTTAGCTTGTTGTGGCTGCAAACTGCAAACAGTTTCGCTAGCAACTGGCCGGGGGAGTTAGCTTGTTAGCTCTTTAGCTAGTTAGCGTGTTAGCTTGTTGTGGCTGCTAGTGTTGCCACCAGAGACTCGGAAGACTTTGCAATAAATCGTTTTCTGATGTAACTTATGTCAGATTTTCCAAAACCCTTCAAACAGACACAACTCCTCTCTTGGGCACAAGTTGTGTTGGTGCATCTCGGGTCTCCCTCCTTTATGCTCTTTTCCGTGTTTTCACGTAACCAACAGAGTTAACGTTACCTGTTGTTGTGAGCTGTACCCAGCATGCAGTTCGGCGTTGTAATTTCTTTTAAATGTACAATTATTAGTGTTACAAATTGTTTATGTGTCACAAGCCGTTGTGTCGTGGTGTTTTACCCTGTTTGTTGTCGGTTATTCATTGTTGTTTTAAATCCTTCATACATGTACATGGATACATACGGAGCACGCGGCACGTACTTCTGTTTGGTGGAGTTCTCATGACACTGTACCAGTGTCGCTGTGGATGATTTACATTTTCTTTCATCTGTAATCTGGTTCCTCCTGAAGTGGTTAACACATTGAGAATGTCCCAATCTGAGTTCCTTGCTTGTTATTACTGTTGTTGCTGTTGTATAACGTTCAACATCTCTTTTTTTCTTTAAGTGATGGACCAAAGTGACACGCTTGGTAAGTAGCGTTATTTAGCACACGCCTGCTGACTGTCGTCTTTTGTTTCACTCATGTTCCCCTCTGGGTGAATTGTAATACGCTCGGTGATTTTCTGGCTTTAAATTTAAACTTTTTATTCGGGCTGTCAATAAGATTAAGAGAAATTAACTAATTAATCACACATTTTGAAATTAACTAATCTCCATTAGTGGCTATTAGACTAAATCTTACAAGTAATGAGTAATCACTTCAGAAAACGTGTATTCAGACACTGTTGTTTAATTGTTAATGTTATTTTAAACACAAAACTACACACATTTGATCATCTTGATCAATATTAAATAATATTAACAATTTTAATAATAATAAAACACAATAAAAAACAATTTTAATAATAATGAAACACGTTTAGGTTGACAGCCCTACTTTTTATCATTCAAAACCTTTTATTCATCAAACACTTTGATTAACCAACAAACCTCATATGCACTTTGTGTTTATAGATACTTAGCAGGTAATGATGACAGATCCCATAAAATAACATTATTATTATTGGGTCAGTGTTTTAGAGCTTTGCATGTCATATTTTAGTTGAATAATTCCCTCATATGTCGTTCCTCTAATATACGTACTTCTATACATCAGTATCAAATAGGAAAGGAACAATAGAAATTACTAAACCAAATTGATCACTCTCAGTACAATGAGCCAGAGGGATGTTTATATTTTCACTCTGATCTCTTCCTCAGAAAGCTGTCGGCCCAAACAGCCCCCCAGAGACCCTTTGCTGCAGCTGGTCTCCCTGCAGAAGGCGTCTGGCTGCTGGTTGCTGGATCCACATCTGGCTGCTGCACTGGGGAAGACCAGCGAGGAGGTGGAGAAGCCCAAGCCTGCATCGGTGGGTTGCTGTCAATGACAATAACATTGGTTAATAATGGGACTGTTCAATGTTGCCCTTGGTGCTGAATCCTCAGTTCTCTTTAACTTTGTTTTCCCCGTTGGGTTCTATTCCATTTTGCATTGTTTGTTTTGTTGTATTAGGTGAAGCAGGACGTGTGGGCCACCATTCTGGCTCTGATCTGGCTTCATGGTTTCAAGATGGATGCTCAGGAGGAGTGGGAGCTTCTGGCTATGAAGGCTGTGTCCTGGCTGCGAGCTCAGAAAGGTAAAAAGCACTAAATGAATGTCAGGATGCCAAAGCTGAGTGACTTCTTGAATTGGTAGGAGGCAGCCAAGCAAGACTTTGTCCTGATATCATAAGGGTTTATATTTGTAAAAAAGAAGGTTCCTGGTTCACGTACCATTAAACAAATGTACAAAGAAGACAAATAAACCTAATCAGTTAACCTTAACAAGAGTATGGTAAGTACCCAAAACACAGACTAACATGGGGACAAAGGTGAGTTGTCACCCACTTTATCGCAATGAAGTATTGATTTTCTGTTTTTAACAGGGACTCTTTATCCACAGTCTGCTGATGACGTGTTCTGTGTTTTCTTTTCTGCAGCATCATTGGTGACGGAGTGTGTGGAAGCAGGAAATGCTCTGTTGGGTTGCAACGTGCAGAAAGACGCCGTGGGGCTCTGACGTGTTCATTGAAGGAGCTTCTCCTGCAGGATTGGTCCCCTCTGGTACATCAAAGCAGATTCACTCCATCGTGTACTTAAAATCAATTAATCCATTTTATGTCATGTGTCTAGCACAACTTTAAATTAAACTCAATTTTGAAAAACAATGTTCTTTGGTGGCTTTATTTCAGTCTTCACCGTTCTGATTCATTGTGCAGTACTAACTTTAGAAACACTAATTGGTTATTTTATACAGTGAACAAATTGCAGGTGTGTGGCTGTGAGTTGTTTGGGTTGTTGTGGCGCAGGTGTAGAGAGGGCGCGCTGGGAACCATGAGGTTGGTGGTTTGAGTCCCGGCTACCCCATGTCTCAGGTCGAAGTGTCCCTGAGCAAGACACCTATCCCCTAATAGCTCCTTGGTTAAAAATGTAAAATGCCATGGGTTACAAATGTAATGTAAGTCGCTTTGGATAAAAGTGTCAGCTAAATGACCTATAATGTAATAATGTAGTTCATACTTCATCCAAAGATAAAGGTTATTTAAAACAGTGCAGAGAATCAATGAATTTGCTGGTAATTATTTAGCTATTGTTTCAGGGCTACACTTAGTTCCCCAGATCCATTTTTATTTTAACCAATTCAACAGCAAGTTGCAGGCGAGAAGTTAGAAAAGGAAATTATTTTCTTCACAAAGTAAATACAATGCTATTCAAGTAGATTGTTTTTTTTAAACTAATGTTTTTATTGATTCTTTGACATAAAACAGTTAAATATAATACAGACAGGGCAGAAAAGCAAAATATATTATCAACACTTTCGTCATGTAACCTTGAAGTTTCTGAATTTGATTAGTGCACTGTTCTTCAATTCAATTTTTTATTAAGCGTATAATTGTATTATTTTATGATTAAATCCATGTGACGTATCTTATCGCGTTGACTGGGCTCTTATTTTGAAGTCGTTTCCTTCACGCTCTCTCGCGCGCGCTCCGCGGTGAACGTGCGCGTTCTCGTGGCTGTTGTTGCTGCTGCGCTCGACGGGCTCGACTGCAGTCGGCACTCCCTCGTCACTGCTTCAGCGCAGCCGGTGGAAGTGACTTTTAACTTTTTTGGTTTGTCACTTGACATCGTTCTGCTTTAGAAACCTCGCAAGTTGTCTCCGGATATTTACAAGAGGAAACTTCTGAAACGTTGTCGCGTGGAGATCCATCCTCAGAGGTAAGAGTTAGTCTGCTGTGTGTTTATTTAGATAAATAGTCTGCTGACTACAACACTGCGCAATCCGAATTGATTCTGGATACTGTTTGTGTATCATTGGTTTTGGATTTCTGAAGGAACTTTACTGGAATACCGCGATGCTTTATAAAGAAATTGAAAGAATAAAATACCTTAAATAAACACCGGATTGTTATCGTTGTATTCGGTCATTTCCCGTCGTGGAAAACTAGTTTTAGTCTCCTCAATAACATTAAGCAAACAGTCCAGATCCATTTGATAAAAAAAGAGTGTAGACGGGTTTTTCTAATAAAACTCAGCTAAACAATGAAGACGCAGAATGAACGAAGAAGGGCGCAGCAGAGAGGACCAGCGTGGGAGGAAACGTGTTTGTGTTATTAATTACCGTTTTTGACATTCGTTATCTTGTCAATACATTTGCAAAATGTATTCTTTATTTTCTTAATTGTATTTTTAGCTTCAATCTTCTGGTAGGATTCATACAGTAGCCTACCAGTCGAAGGTTTTGACACACCTTCTATTTCAAGTGAATGTGTGTCCAGACTTTTGAATTGTATTCAAATATATATAATGGATGATTAGTTGTTTTTATAAAAGCGTACCTTGCTCGCTGCAGAATGTCCAGTAGCTGTTGTTACCATCCACCCCAGCAGCATGAAGTCCTCAAACGTCCTCTTTGATTGTTGCACAGGTATGATGGTGAGCTGCTGTGGTCTAATAACCTCTCAGAAGGAACCAGGTACGAACCTCCATCATTCTTTGTACTTCAAATATAAAATACATTTCTATTGTCCAATTTCATCCTGCTTTGCACACTATTGGAGGCAGGATGCACTTCTTGGTTTTACAGGTCTTCTGATGCAGCGGAAACATGAAACAGTTCAGTAAAGAATAAACCTCAACAACGTAGGAAAGCATGTTGTGTTCACTGTGTTTCCATCTGCTGCTCGCTCAGTTCCTCTGAAGAGCGTCGAGGTGGAGCTGGAGGTGAAGGACCACGTGGCTACTGTGGTCTCCACTCTGAACTACCACAACCAGGAAGACAAACCACTGGAGGCTGTCTTTGTCTTCCCCCTGCCTGGAGATGCTGCCGTCTGTCATTTCAGCGCCACTGTTGGACAGACGGAGATAGTGGCGGAGGTGAAGGAGAAACAGGAGGTGAGCTGCACAGCAACGACCTTCTCTCAAAGGAGCTGTGAAACGCAGCCAGTGTTTCACTCGTGCTTTCTGTGTTTCAGGCCCGTGAGGAGTACGACGACGCTCTGAGCTCCGGTCAGCAGGCCTTCCTGTTGGAGGAGAGCGAGCAGAGTCCAGATGTATTCTCTCTGAGTGTGGGCAGTCTGCCTCCAGGAGAGAGCGCCTCCATCAGGCTGGAGTACGTCACTGAGCTGGCTGTGCAGGCCGATGAAGGGCTGAGGTTCCTACTGCCCGCTGTGCTCAACCCTCGCTACCAACCTCAGGGTAGGAAAAGCAGCCAGCAGCTTCTTCAGGAGCCCTCAAGCGTCAACTTGGAGCACAACACACCTGTACACGTCAATGGCCTCTTGTTGTCTTGGGCTTCATATCTGAACGTTTTTACCTCATTGACAGGGAGCGTTGGTAGTGAAGGGTCCAACGTCCAGGTGACCTCTGTTCCAGCCTCTCTGGTGCCCTACACTCTGTCTTTCTCTGCCCGAGTGTCCTCTCCTCGTCCCGTCTCCAAAGTAGAGTCCAGCTCTCCCCTGGACCCTCTGCAGTACCTCAACACAGAGCAAACCCAGGCCACGGTAGGTAGAGTGCTGCTGATGAATGTTTCTATCACGGAGAAGAGGAGATGTATTGGTAATGACTTGTGATGTTTGTCTGGTGAACTGCAGGTCAAGTTGGCTGCAGGACACAAGTTTGACAGAGATGTTGAACTGCTGATTTATTACAAAGACGCCCACCAGCCCTCTGCGGTGGTGGAGGCAGGACAGGCCTCTTCCCAGCCTGGTGAGGTTACATTTAAACTGATACATGTAGTATGGAGTTGTAATGTGTTGGGATGAATAATAAAAAGACAGATGCATGATCATTTCCTCTGTGTTCAGGCTCTCTGATGGGTGATTCAGTAGTGATGCTGAGCCTGTACCCAGAGTTCCCTCAGGCTGTGATGTCCTCAGTGGCTTCATCTGGAGAGTTTGTCTTCTTATTGGATCGATCTGGCAGTATGCATGGAGAGCGTATAAAGAATGCCAGGGTACTAATTATGTCTTATTCCTCTCATGAACACATTTATAGTGTCTGTCTCTCACAAAGTGACCCTCATCTTATTCTCCTCCCTTAAGGACACTCTGCTGCTCCTGTTGAAGAGCCTACCGCTCGGCTGCTATTTCAACATCTACAGTTTCGGATCCAGCTTTGAACACATCTTCCCGTGAGTCACTTAGTCCAACAAAAGTGTGATTTATGACCAGTGGTGGCTGGTGGATTTTCTTTTGTTGGTAAGGACAGACAATCAGTTTCAGCAAACATCCCAGAATGATTCAATACTGCCAGATGACAAGAGCCTGAATCAGTACCGGGCAGCCTTCTGAGTGAGAAGAGGACGTATTCTCCTGATGTTGTAGAGCGTGTATCTACAGGATCCTGTCGTCGCAGTGATGTTGGGAGTCAGGGAGAGTTGGCTGTCGAGTGTCACGCCGAGGTTCGGTTAAAGTGGTTCAGTCTTGTCGGGGTTGATTTTCGGTGGTGGGCGGACATCTGAGAGATGTCAGTCACACAGGCAGAGATCCGTGCCGCCACCTGGGTGTCTGAGGGAGGGAAGGAGAGAATTAGTTGGGTGTCATCGGCATAGCTGTGGTAGGAGAAGCCATGCGAGCGAATGACAGCTCAGAGAGAGTTGGTGTAGAGCGAGAAGAGGAGGGGACCCAGGACGGAACCCTGAGGAACTCCCGTAGTAAGAGGACAAGGTTCCGACACAGATCCTCTCCAGGTTACCCGGTAGGTGCGGCCGTCGAGGTAGGACGAGAGAAGGGAGAGAGCAGAGCCTGAGACACCAAGTTCCTGAAGAGAGGAAATAAGGATCTGGTGGTTGACTGTGTCAAATGCAGCAGAGAGGTCCAGAAGGATGAGGACAGAGGAGAGAGAGACGGCTCACTGTCTGGTGTCTACAACTATTTTGTGCTGAAAGGCAGCTATTTACGTACTATTTCTAATTTTGCTGAGAACTGTATTATAAAAGCAACAAGGTACTTGAGGCAGTACTTTAGCTGCTTATTAAGCTACCTTATTGCTTAAATCACCACGGTGTAACCACTGACTATTGTTAATGTCAAAGTTTTGAAATGTCCTCCCCCAATAATTGATAATGAATCAATCCTATAATGAAGGCATGCTTATGTTTAAGGGTTGTAGATCATCTGTATGCTGTTTGTGTGTTTCTGGCTGCAGTAAGAGTGAAGACTACAACCAGAAGACCATGGAAGAGGCTCTGAAGAAAGTGGAAGAGATGGAGGCTAATCTGGGAGGAACTGAGATCCTTGAGCCACTTAAACACATTTACAGACAGCCCTCCATTCCCAGTCAACCTCGACAAGTAACACACACACACACACACACACACTTGTTGAACAGGTTGTAAATGTATCTTTGTAGATCATCAGAGAATCATCCGGTTTAGCCAGAACCTGCTACGGTTTGTTTTTTTAACACGTTTATTCTTGCTGCACCTTGTTCTTAAGAATTTACCATAGAAAACCACTTTAACACATTTACGCCCTCCATTCCCAATCAACCTCGACAAGTGACACACACACACACACACACACACACTAAAACAGCAATGAAACACGTCTATTTGAGAAATACGTTTGGATGACTCAACGCATGCTGTGTGTTTTTCCCATTGTTGCTGTGTGTAACTTTGTGTGAACTCTCCTCATCAGCTATTTGTCTTTACTGACGGAGAGGTGGGGAACACAAAAGAAGTCATAAATCTGGTGAAGCAGAATTCAGCCTCCCACAGGTCAAAGAACAAGAAGATCAACACAATTGCTAAAATAAGTCCCATGTTTAGGTGCTGGGTGTGTAAAAACCAGCCCACTGTGTTGTAGGTGTTTCTCCTTTGGGATCGGGGAAGGGGCCAGTTCTGCTCTCATCAACGGGTTGGCCAAAGAAGGAGGAGGCCACGCTCAGTTCATCACAGGGGCCGACAGGATGCAGCCCAAAGTAACACACCGCTGCCTTCATGTCAATGGAAAATCAAATCACCACCAAAACATGATTACTTAAATGGTTCTTACTCACCAGGTGATGCAGTCGCTGCGGTTCGCTCTGCAACCGTCCGTGGTGGACGTCTCAGTCAAGTGGGATCTGCCGAGCGGAGTCTCTGTCACCGCTCTCTCTCCACCGATCGCAGCAGTTTTCCAGGGTCAAAGGTCACTGGTTTACGCCCAGTTCACTGGACAGGTAGGAGCGCCACCATCTGAGGCAAGGCAAGGCAATTTTATTTGTATAGCGCTTTTCATACACAAGGCAGACTCAAAGTGCTACACATCATAACATTTCATACAATAAAGTGAAATAAAATGCAGGAATTAAAAGACAATTAAAAACAGCAAATAAAATTATAAATTAAAATCTTATTTAAATTATTTAATTAAAGGCAGAGGTTAAAAGTGCAATGTAGGTCAAATTTAGCAGAAGGCGAAGCTGAACATAAAAGTTTTCAGTCTTGTTTTAAACGTGGTCAGAGTTGGGGCAAGTCTTAAATCTTCAGGAAGTTTATTCCAGCTGTTTGTTGCGTAGTAACTAAATGATGCTTTCCCATGATTTGTATTTACTCTGGGAATCACTAACAGATTGGTGTCAGACGATCTTCGTGATCTTGAAGGCTTATGTAGTGGAAGCATATCAGTGATGTACTTTGGCCCTAAACCATGTAGTGATTTATATGTGAGCAGTAGGGTTTTGAAATTAATTCTCTGACATACTGGGAGCCAATGTAAGGATTTAAGAATCGGTGTAATGTGCTCACATTTTTTGGTCTTTGTTAGAACTCTAGCAGCAGCGTTCTGAACAAGCTGGAGCTGCCTGACAGTTTTTTTGGAAGACCTGCAAGGAGACCATTACAATAGTCTAGCCTACTAGTTATGAAGGCATGTACAAGTGTTTCTAAGTCTTGAGCTGACATGAGCCCTCTAAGTCGTGCTACATTTTTGAGGTGGTAGTAGGCCGATTTTGTTACTGATTTGATTTGAAGTGTAAATCTGAATCCATAATAACCCCCAGATTTCTGGCTTTATTTGATGTTTTCAGGGACAGAGAGTGAAGGTGTTGGGTTACTTTAAACCTTTCTTTTTTAGCACCAAATACAATGATCTCAGTTTTGTCTTCATTTAGTTGTAGGAAATTTTGACACATCCAGTCTTTGATTTGCTCAATGCACTGGCACAGAAGATATGGGGCGATAGTCGTTTGGTGATAGCGCTACATAAATTTGGGTGTCATCAGCGTAGCAATGGTGGTCAATCTTTTTGCATGATTTGTCCTAGTGGGAGCATGTAGATGTTGAATAAAGTCGGCCCTAAGATCGAACCTTGGGGGACTCCACACGTTACGTCGGTTGTTTCTGATACGAAGTCACCAATGGAAACAAAATAGTTCCTGTCTTGTAGATATGACCTGAACCAGCTTAAGACTGTGCCTGAGAGCCCCACCCAGTTTTCCAACCTGTCCAAAAGCATTGAGTGGTCGACAGTATCAAATGCAGCACTGAGGTCTAATAGCATTAATATTGAAGTTTTGCCAGAGTCTGTGTTAAGACGGATGTCATTTACAACTTTAATAAGGGCCGTCTCGGTTCTATGAAGAGGTCGAAATCCTGACTGGAAATTGTCGTGGCAGCCAGTTGAAGCCAGGAAGTGATTAAGTTGTTGTAGGACAACTTTCTCAATTATTTTACTTATGAAAGGTAGATTTGAAATTGGTCTGTAGTTGTTGATAATAGAGGCATCTAGGCTCCGCTTTTTTAGGAGAGGTTTAATAACTGCAGTTTTGAAAGCTTTTGGGAAATGGCCTGTCTGAATAGAGTTATTAACTATTTGCAATACGTCTGTTGCTAGGCAGTCAAAAATATTCTTAAAGAAGTTGGTAGGTAGAGCATCAAGACAGCAGGTGGAGGGTTTTAAATTTGTCACCGTTTCCACTAGAGTTTGAGAGTCTATGGCAGTAAAGCTTGTCATCATTGCTGTGTTACTTTTGCCTAAATAGGGTGGTGATCCAACATTTTTGTTTGAGATATTAATGGCGCGTCTGATGCCTTCAATTTTATCAGTATAAAAGAACGCACACTCATTGCATTTCTGTGTGGAATGGAGTTCAGGTGGTATTTGTGTTGGGGGGTTGGTCAGTCTGTCAACAGTTTCAAATAGGGTTTTTGCCTTATTAGTGTTGTTTTTAATGATGTTGGAGAAGAATGTTTCCCTAGCACTTTTTAAGTCTAAATTGTAGGCCCGGAGGCGCTCTTTATAGATGTCATGGTGAATGTGAAGTTTTGTATTCCGCCAGATTCGTTCAGCCTTCCTGCACTCTTCTCTGGGCTGTTACAACAGCAGCTTTTCTCCAGGGTGCCTTTTGCTTAATAGAACTGGTTTTAACCGTAACAGGTGCAATGTCATCTATAACATTCAAAATTTTGGAATTAAAGTTGTTTACAAGATTATCAGCATGACATGGGATTAGAGGTGGTAACGAGGAGATAACATTTTTAAAGAGTACATTAGTATGTTCATTGATGTACCATTTTTTGACAGTATTTGATTTTGATTGTGTGTCAGGAATGAAAGAAATATTAAAGAAAACACAGAAGTGGTCAGACAATGAGGGATCAGTGGAACTACTGGAACTACTCTCTCGTTTGATTTGTCAGGTCAGCGATGATGGAAGAAATGGTTTGTGACACTGATGTTTCCTCAGAGTTCGGAGGCGTCAGAGGGCTGTGTGACGGTGGCGTACAGCCTGGCAGGTCATCCCTCTCAGACCCAGCTCCACTTCAGTCTCAAACCTGCAGAGGACTCTGGGTAAGCAGCACAATTATGCATTGGGTCCTGTCCTTAGAAATGTTGAGTTCATTTTCATTATTGAGTTCAAATCAAAGGACCATGGAAGGAGGAGCTCTTTGACTTTAGCGAGGAGTGAGAACCAAGGACCTGTCCGTTAAGAGAGTATTGCACTGATGCATTAAAGGTCTGCTCAGTGGCTGACGCACACAATGTGCAGAGCGGCCTCGAATGTAATCATTTAGTCAAGAATCCCTGTAGAATCTCTTTGTTCTTTTTACTTCTGGACGTACATGAACCCTAAAAGAAATAATTAGTATGTGTATTATAATTTTGTAAATCTGTGTTTTGTCTCTGCAGACTAACGGTCCACAGGTTGGCCGCTCGGACCGTGATCCGCTCTCTGGAGATGGAGGTGAGAGAGCCTGGAGGACAGGAAGACGCAGGAGGGAAGAAGAAGGTGGTGGACCTCAGCGTCCAATCAGGAGTGAGCAGTGTCTTCACCGCCTTCATTGCCGTTAACAAATCCAACAGCGAAGCTATTCAAGGACCTCTGCTGCGCAGAACGATTCCAACACCCAGTGAGTCATTTCTATAGAAATATAACAGAAATACAGCTGACCATGAATGAAAATGTATGTAGAAAATGTTTGTTTCGTTATTGTCTCGGCTCAAATCTCAACATCAATTTCTTTCTTTTTTATCTCAAAGGGATGATGGCCTGCATGGCTCCTATGGCATTCTGTTCGATGAGAAGTAAGTAAAACCTGTCCTAATGTAAGTAAACCTCAATAAATCTGAATTGTAGAGAAACGCATACTTGTGTATTTCTACACACTATTCTAAACTTTTGAGATATTTTAAACTATTTGAACTTCTTGGTAGTCACATAATGTCCCGATCCAGTAGTTATGTCTGTATTTTTGGTTTGGTTCTTAGCATGGCTCATGTCTTCACCTCACGCTGTGTTTTTAAGATCTCAAAGTGCCTGTGATGTCTTGTGATATGGCGCAGCTTCCTCAGATGTCTCCTAGTAAGTGTATTTCTATAAATAGACTAAATGGATGTAAACAAAACTGCATCGTCTTAAATGTTTAATCCGGCAGATTACTTATGTTACCCTTGTAACGTCCTGACCACTTTCTCTTAATCTTTTTAACCTCAGAGAGTAATATAAATATTAATTAATAATGTTAATGAGATGAGAGTGTCATCTCTTTTAAGGCAATAGTAATGGAGGTGGCGGCTCAGGGTTACTCTGTGAGGGAAGAATAAAGTCACGTGCCTCGGCAATGACACTGTCTGGTTGGCTCAAGGAAAAGTGCTGGCTGTAAATACTATTTTCCTGGACCACATCATACTGGTGTCACAATAACAGGGTTTACTGGGTGATAAATATAAACAATCACTTTCAGGGAATTTTGTTATTAAACCAAAAATGGCCAAAGACTTTTTTTTACGTGACCATGGACTGTAATTCAGACAAGAGATACAAGGAGTTATTTTGGCCCCTCTTTGGGGGTAATTGACATAAGAAACACGTGATTATCTAGTGCAGCATGCGATGAAGGCTGCGCTGCGTGTGGCTACACTGTGGCATGTGTGCAATCATTTTAAATGTACTGAACCCTTAAAGGGTCGCACGGTATGGCCAGAAATCCATATCACGGTATTAAAAAAGATTCTGAGGTGTCCCGGTATATCACGGTATTGCTTTTTCAAGTAAACACATTAATTAATTGACCCCCGAAAAAGAACGAGCCGCCCGCTGACCAAATTGCCCACAACTGGCCGACGAGTTAGCTTGTTAGCTTGTTGTGGCTGTAAACAGCTGTTTGCGCTAGAAACTGGCCGGGGGAGTTAGCTTGTTAGCTCTTTAGCGTGTTGGCTTGTTGTGGCTGCTAGTGTTGCCACAAGAGACTCGGGAGACTTTGCAATAAATCGTTTTCTGGTGTAACTTATGTCAGATTTTCCAAAACCCTTCAAACAGACACAGCTCCTCTCTTGGCCACAAGTTGTGTTGGTGCATCTCGGGTCTCCCTCCTTTATGCTCTTTTCCGTGTTGTCACGTAACCAGCAGAGTTAACGTTACCTGTTGTTGTGAGCTGTACCCAGCATGCAGTTCGGCAGGGTAATTTCTTATAAATGTACAATTATTAGTGTTACATTGTTTGTTGTTTATGTGTCACAAGCCGTTGTGTCGTGGTGTTTTACCCTGTTAAAGAGTGTTTGTTGTCGGTTATTCATTGTTGTTTTAAAGTTATAACTAGGACTCAATCTCAACACACATAACACAAGTAGCTCCGGCCGCTTAGCGCGTTGTTGTTACGTGTCTAAAAGAGTTTTGCCGCCCGCTTAGGAGCAACATCGCGTTACACCGGTATGAACATCGCGTGAGGAATTCGTACCGTATGAAAACCATATACCGGTATACCGTCCAGCTCTAAATCCTTCATACATGTACATGGATAGATACGGAGCACGCGGCACGTACTTCTGTTTGGTGGAGTTCTCATGACACTGTACCAGTGTCACTGTGGATGATTTACATTTTCTTTCCTCTGTAATCTGGTTCCTCCTGAAGTGGTTAACACATTGAGAATGTCCCAATCTGAGTTCCTTGCTTGTTATTACTGTTGTTGCTGTTGTATAACGTTCAACATCTCTTTTTTTCTTTAAGTGATGGACCAAAGTGACACGCTTGGTAAGTAGCGTTATTTAGCACACGCCTGCTGACTGTCGTCTTTTGTTTCACTCATGTTCCCCTCTGGGTGAATTGTAATACGCTCGGTGATTTTCTGGCTTTAAATTTAAACTTTTTATTCGGGCTGTCAATAAGATTAAGAGAAATTAATTAATCACACATTTTGAAATTAACTAATCTCCATTAGTGGCTATTAGACTAAATCTTACAAGTAATGAGTAATCACTTCAGAAAACGTGTATTTCAGACACTGTTGTTTAATTGTTATTGTTATTTTAAACACAAAACTACACACATTTGATCATCTTGATCAATATTAAATAATATTAATAATGTGAATTCTTAAAACACGTTTAGTTTGACAGCCATACTTTTTATCATTCAAAACATCTAGATACTTAGCAGAACATTATTATTATTGGGTCAGTGTTTTCCATCTTTGCATGTCACATTTTTATTTTTTTGAATAATTCCCTCATATGTCGTTCCTCTAAAATATATATATATATATATATATATATATATATATATATATACTAATAATATACTTCATCAGTATCAAATAGGAAGAGAACAATAGAAATTACTAAACCAAATTGATCACTCTCAGTACAATGAGCCAGAGGGATTTTTATATTTTCACTCTGATCTCTTCCTCAGAAAGCTGTCGGCCCAAACAGCCCCCCAGAGACCCTTTGCTGCAGCTGGTCTCCCTGCAGAAGGCGTCTGGCTGCTGGTGTCTGGATCCACATCTGGCTGCTGCACTGGGGAAGACCAGCGAGGAGGTGGAGAAGCCCAAGCCTGCATCGGTGGGTTGCTGTCAATGACAATAACATTGGTTAATAATGGGACTGTTCAATGTTGCCCTTGGTGCTGAATCCTCTGTTCTCTTTAACTTTGTTTTCCCCGTTGGGTTCTATTCCATTTTGCATTGTTTGTTTTGTTGTATTAGGTGAAGCAGGACGTGTGGGCCACCATTCTGGCTCTGATCTGGCTTCATGGTTTCAAGATGGATGCTCAAGAGGAGTGGGAGCTTCTGGCTATGAAGGCTGTGTCCTGGCTGCGAGCTCAGAAAGGTAAAAAGCACTAAATGAATGTGAGGATGCCAAAACTGAGTGACTTCTGGAATTGGTAGGAGGCAGCCAAGCAAGACTTTGTCCTGATATCATAAGGGTTTATATTTGTAAAAAAGAAGGTTCCTGGTTCACGTACCATTAAACAAATATACAAAGAAGACAAATAAACCTAATCAGTTAACCTTAACAAGAGTATGGTAAGTATCCAAAACACAGACTAACATGGGGACAAAGGTGAGTTGTCACCCACTTTATCAAAATGAAGTATTGATTTTCTGTTTTTGACAGGGACTCTTTATCCACAGTCTGCTGACGTGTTCTGTGTTTTCTTTTCTGCAGCATCATTGGTGACGGAGTGTGTGGAAGCAGGAAATGCTCTGTTGGGTTGCAACGTGCAGAAAGACGCCGTGGGGCTCTGAGGTGTTCATTGAAGGAGCTTCTCCTGCAGGATTGGTCCCCTCTGGTACATCAAATCAGATTCACTCCATCGTGTACTTAAAATCAATTAATCCATTTTAGGTCAACTAGTGTGTAGAACAACTTTAAATTAAACTCAATTTTGAAAAACAATGTTCTTTGGTGGCTTTATTTCAGTCTTCACCGTTCTGATTCATTGTGCAGTACAAACTTTGTGACATCAAGTTTAGAAAGATATATCCTTAATAACTACTGGGTCTGAGGGGTGTTCATGCTTTAAAACAAACCTTTTACTTGAGTTGATATCTTGCTCTTGTCCAACACTAATCGGTTATTTTATACAGTGAACAAATTGCAGGTGTGTGGCTGTGAGTTGTTTGGGTTGTTGTGGCGCAGGTGTAGAGAGGGCGCGCTGGGAACCATGAGGTTGGTGGTTTGAGTTCCGGCTACCCCATGTCTCAGGTCGAAGTGTCCCTGAGCAAGACACCTATCCCCTAATAGCTCCCTGGTTAAACATGTACAATGCCATGGGTTACAAATGTAATGTAAGTCGCTTTGGATAAAAGCGTCAGCTAAATGACCTATAATGTAATAATGTAGTTCATACTTCATTGAAAGATAAAGGTTATTTAAAACAGTGCAGAGAATCAATGAATTTGCTGGTAATTATTTAGCTATTGTTTCAGGGCTACACTTAGTTCCCCAGATCCATTTTTATTTTAACCAATTCAACAGCAAGTTGCAGGCGAGAAGTTAGAAAAGGAAATTATTTTCTTCACAAAGTAAATACAATGCTATTCAAGTAGATTGTTTTTTTTAAACTAATGTTTTTATTGATTCTTTGACATAAAACAGTCAAATATAATACAGACAGGGCAGAAAAGCTAAATATATTATCAACACTATTTCGTCATGTAACCTTGAAGTTTCTGAATTTGTTTAGTGCACTGTTCTTCAATTCAATTTTTTATTAAGCGTATAATTGTATTATTTTATGATTAAATCCATGTGACCTATCTTATCGCGTTGACTGGGCTCTTATTTTGAAGTCGTTTCCTTCACGCTCTCTCGCGCGCGCTCCGCGGTGAACGTGCGCGTTCTCGTGGCTGTTGTTGCTGCTGCGCTCGACGGGCTCGACTGCAGTCGGCACTCCCTCGTCACTGCTTCCGCGCAGCCGGTGGAAGTGACTTTCAACTTTGTGGTTTGTCACTTGACATCGTTCTGCTTTAGAAACCTCGCAAGTTGTCTCCGGATATTTACAAGAGGAAACTTCTGAAACGTTGTCACGTGGAGATCCATCCTCAGAGGTAAGAGTTAGTCTGCTGTGTGTTTATTTAGATAAATAGTCTGCTGACTACAACACTGCGCAATCCGAATTGATTCTGGATACTGTTTGTGTATCATTGGTTTTGGATTTCTGAAGGAACTTTACTGGAATACCGCGATGCTTTATAAAGACATTGAAAGAATAAAATACCTTAAATAAACACCGGATTGTTATCGTTGTACTCGGTCATTTCCCGGTGTTACACCCCTACTGGTTTTTCCACCTACTGGTTTCCCTACGCGTGCGTGTTTGTGTTCACTTCACAGCTGCGGATGTGTCCGCCTCAGTTCCCTTATTCGTCACACATTCACAAACATATTGCTGAAAATCTACAAAACCCATCACAAATCCATTGCAGCGTTTACGATTGTATAAGTGAGCACCACATCACAGCCACGTATGAAAACATTTACATGAAAAAATATATTAACCCTCCAATTACCTTCAAATTTACTAACATCTTTTACCCTTGGGGTCAATTTGACCCCAACAACTTAAACCTTCAGAAAATTATTAGAGTTAATATTGTTTCACAAGTTTGAGTGTCAGGTACTTTATGTTTGTTTGTTGACTACCTAAATAGCCCTTTAAATAAATAAAAATACACCCCCCCCCCCTCCCCTGATACATCCAGAATATTCGCGACTATGGCGAAATATGCATATCACCATTAAAATCTCACTGATTGACCTAAAATTGGAAAGAGATATATTTTTGGTGTTTTAATGGCTTTACATTATGTCTATGTACATGTTTTTTATATCTATATTATTTGGAATGAAAAACAATTTCTGTTATTAAGAATAGTAACATGGATTATATTCCGGGTCAATTTGACCCCAGGAAAAACAAACACAATTTCAGAAATTTAGAAGGATTTTATTTGTAAAACAGAATATCATCATCATCAGAACATCACTAAGGAACACATAACAGGTATTTATTTCCACAAATATTAAAGTACATTTGAGATTGGTCTATGCTACACTAAGTGCTATGTATGCAAATATTTTTGCATGAGATAGTGAAAAAAACAAAGTCACTAAAATTAGTTTGACAGAATATGAACAGCATATTATCTTTCCTTCAGGCCACCAGAAGGTACATTCCAGCCTTGCGACCAGCTATTGCCCCGTGGCGCAGCGCACAGTGCGACTAGAAGTGTGATGCGTTTGCATTTTGCTGCATGGGTTCGCAACCTGGTCGGTTCGATCTTTTAATATATTTTCTAAACTTTGTTTTGTTCGTGTCTGTGGTTTACGTCACGCGATGGCCGTAAGAAAACAATATCCATTTTTATCAAAATGTGTAGCTGCAAGGCTGCAGCCTCGTGAAGAAGTAGCGTTGCACATGTCCTGAAGCGTTCCAAGACACGCCCAAGGTAACCAGTTGTTTTAAATCCACGACACCAAAAGGTTTCCTCCATGCTGATCTACGTCAACGAAATGAATAAATTATACTGAGGGTCAAATAATTGCTGTGTGTCTCCGTGGCGCCCTGCTAAGAGCAGCCACCAGGTTAATGTAGTTCCAGTAGGTGGAAAAACCAGTAGGGGTGTAACACCGTCGTGGAAATCTATTTTCGTGAAAAAAAGCTCGGTAGAAGAGAATGATTTGTCTGATAAAACAGAGTCTTGATGAATGATCAAAGTTGCATTTATTGCTTGCAAGCAGGAGGTCAAATACACAGGCACGTATCACGGTGCTCTGTGGAAATGGCGTCTCCGAGCACTAAAGACGCTGAGTTTTTATACACATGTGAAGAACATTCTCCGTGCCAGCTACGAGAAGCTACAAAGCAGGTTGAGATAAGAACCCAGGTGAAGCTGAGGGTAGCACACACACACAAGATCCTCCTCAATGGCCGCTGCAAATCATTATTACTTGACATGAAAGTAAAACTTGGATCCAGAACTTTCGTACAGAATAAGATCTGAACCAAGGCCATGAAGAGGAGTCCTTTGTTTTGAAGCTTCTATGAGATCGAGTCAACCGTCCTCCCTTCTCAGAGCACAGCTGCAAACTATCATTTTGTATCATACTGCTCTTTGCACATCGGGGTCAAATACAGGACACTTGAGACACGGCTTTAGCACAAAACAATGTTATAACATATTTTTACCATTACATTATCCAGATCCATTGTATGAAAAAAGAGTGTAGACGGGTTTTTCTAATAAAACTCAGCTAAACAATGAAGACGCAGAATGAACGAAGAAGGGCGCAGCAGAGAGGAGCAGCGTGGGAGGAAACGTGTTTGTGTTATTAATTACCGTTTTTGACGTTCGTTATTTTGGCAATACATTTGCAAAATGTATTCTTTATTTTATTTATTGTGTTTTTAGGTTCAATCTTCTGGTAGGATTTATACAGTAGCCTACCAGTCAAAAGTTTAGACAGCTTCTATTTCAAGTGAAGGTGTGTCCAGACTTTTGAATTCTATACAAATATATATAATGGATGATTAGTTGTTTTTATAAAAGCGTACCTTGCTCGCTGCAGAATGTCCAGTAGCTGTTGTTACCATCCACCCCAGCAGCATGAAGTCCTCAAACGTCCTCTTTGATTGTTGCACAGGTATGATGGTGAGCTGCTGTGGTCTAATAACCTCTCAGAAGGAACCAGGTACGAACCTCCATCATTCTTTGTACTTCAAATATAAAAGGTACTTCTATTGTCCAATTTCATCCTGCTTTGCACACTATTGGAGGCAGGATGCACTTCTTGGTTTTACAGGTCTTCTGATGCAGCGGAAACATGAAACAGTTCAGTAAAGAATAAACCTCAACAACGTAGGAAAGCATGTTGTGTTCACTGTGTTTCCATCTGCTGCTCGCTCAGTTCCTCTGAAGAGCGTGGAGGTGGAGCTGGAGGTGAAGGACCACGTGGCTACTGTGGTCTCCACTCTGAACTACCACAACCAGGAAGACAAACCACTGGAGGCTGTCTTTGTCTTCCCCCTGCCTGGAGATGCTGCCGTCTGTCATTTCAGCGCTACTGTTGGACAGACGGAGATTGTGGCGGAGGTGAAGGAGAAACAGCGGGTGAGCTGCACAGCAACGACCTTCTCTCAAAGGAGCTGTGAAACGCAGCCAATGTTTCACTCGTGCTTTCTGTGTTTCAGGCCCGTGAGGAGTACGACGACGCTCTGAGCTCCGGTCAGCAGGCCTTCCTGTTGGAGGAGAGCGAGCAGAGTCCAGATGTATTCTCTCTGAGTGTGGGCAGTCTGCCTCCAGGAGAGAGCGCCTCCATCAGGCTGGAGTACGTCACTGAGCTGGCTGTGCAGGCCGATGAAGGGCTGAGGTTCCTACTGCCCGCTGTGCTCAACCCTCGCTACCAACCTCAGGGTAGGAAAAGCAGCCAGCAGCTTCTTCAGGAGCCCTCAAGCTTCAACTTGGAGCACAACACCTGTACACGTCAATGGCCTCTTGTTGTCTTGGGCTTCATATCTGAACGTTTTTACCTCATTGACAGGGAGCGTTGGTAGTGAAGGGTCCAACGTCCAGGTGACCTCTGTTCCAGCCTCTCTGGTGCCCTACACTCTGTCTTTCTCTGCCCGAGTGTCCTCTCCTCGTCCCGTCTCCAAAGTAGAGTCCAGCTCTCCCCTGGACCCTCTGCAGTACCTCAACACAGAGCAAACCCAGGCCACGGTAGGTAGAGTGCTGCTGATGAATGTTTCCATCACGGAGAAGAGGAGATGTATTGGTAATGACTTGTGATGTTTGTCTGGTGAACTGCAGGTCAAGTTGGCTGCAGGACACAAGTTTGACAGAGATGTTGAACTGCTGATTTATTACAAAGACGCCCACCAGCCCTCTGCGGTGGTGGAGGCAGGACAGGCCTCTTCCCAGCCTGGTGAGTTTACATTTAAACTGATACATGTAGTATGGAGTTGTAATGTGTTGGGATGAATAATAAAAAGACAGATGCATGATCATTTCCTCTGTGTTCAGGCTCTCTGATGGGTGATTCAGTAGTGATGCTGAGCCTGTACCCAGAGTTCCCTCAGGCTGTGATGTCTTCAGTGGCTTCATCTGGAGAGTTTGTCTTCTTATTGGATCGATCTGGCAGTATGCATGGAGAGCGTATAAAGAATGCCAGGGTACTAATTATGTCTTATTCCTCTCATGAACACATTTATAGTGTCTGTCTCTCACAAAGTGACCTTCACCTTATTCTCCTCCCTTAAGGACACTCTGCTGCTCCTGTTGAAGAGCCTGCCGCTCGGCTGCTATTTCAACATCTACAGTTTCGGGTCCAGCTTTGAACACATCTTCCCGTGAGTCACTTAGTCCAACAAAAGTGTGATTTATGACCAGTGGTGGCTTGTGGATTTTCTTTTTTTTGGTAATGACAGACAATCAGTTTCAGCAAACATCCCAGAATGATTCAATACTACATTCTATTCAGAATATAACTACCATAATCGTAACTATTATAAATATCATATAATAAATATATTATATTTAAGGATAAATGTATTTATATCGAATCCTAAACCTTGTGTGTTGGGAAAACACCCAATCATTGTGTTGAGGAAAGACCAACTCCAAAGCCCCAAAAAACGTCACACAATGAATTATTTTGGATAAAATGTCCCTGTTTTCACCCATGTCCTGGTTGTGTGTCCTCGCCGCCGTCCTGTGTGCGTCGCAGCTGCGTAGCGATGTTAACTTTAATAAGGCGACGTTGTGCGCGAATATATGGCGTTAGCATGTAGCTAACTAGCTAGCTAAACATCCCGGTGTAGCATCTCTACAGAAGCTTCATATCCGCGGCTTCCCTTTCACGCCGGTCCGTTGTCTGATTGTGAGGTCAGGCTGATCTGGGTCCAGCTGTTTTACCTCTACTTTCTCCGGCAAAGTTCAAAGTTCAGAGTTTGGGTCTTCTTGGAAGGACACTGCCGGTGGTCGCTCTTGTTATGTTGTTAGACGGCGTCGGAGACTCGCCCTGATGAGAGCGCAGCGTAGGGCGGCGAAGGGCGGTGAAGGGCGAGCCCAAATCTCAATGCATTTTAGGACGCTGAAGTTATTGTCACTCAAAACTGCTTTTAGACCCGCCGCCTTTGGGACACGGCTTGAGCCCAGCGGAGACAGGAAAAGCATACATTTATACAGATTTCTTAATTAACAAATATGATTCAAGTATATAATCCACATTTCGAAATCACAAAAATACAAATATTGACTATTGCTGGTAATTATCCTTTTTTTTCTCCGTTGCTCACGGTGGGGCCACGCCCGCTGTCCTCTATGGACCAGCCGCCAATGTTTATAACTATTTTATAATACAGGTAGATGAAATCCAGCGTTCTGATTGGTCTACAGTGAGTCACGCGGGGTTCATTATTGGGCGATAATGTACAGTTGCTCTTCACATTGACCTGCGCGTTCCATTTCACTGCACACTCAAAGTAACAGGTTAGATTTTTGGTTAGATTTTTATTTAGCTAACGCTTTTATCCAAAGCGTCTTACAATAAGTGCATTCAACCACAAGGGTACAAACTCAGAAGAACAAGAAACAAGAAAGTGCAATTTCCTCAAATAAGCCAATTTACAATTTGCTATAGATGAGTGACGTTATAAGTACAATTTAAGTGCTACAATTTGTTAGTCTTTTAGTCGAGGTAGAGTCTGAAGAGGTGTGTCTTTAGTTTGTGGCGGAAGATGTGAAGGCTCTCTGCGGTCCTGATGTCTTCAGAGAGCTCGTTCCACCATTTCGGAGCAAGGACAGCAAAGAGTCGTGATCTAGTCGAGTGTTTTGCTCTCAGTGAGAGAGGAACGAGCAGTTTAGCAGATGCAGAGCAGAGAGTGCGGGTCAGGATGTTGTCGGGTTTCACCATGTCCTCGATGAAAGCTGGACCCGATCCATTCACAGCATGTTAGGTGAGCACCAATGTTTTGAACTGGATGCGGGCAGCCACCGGTAGCCAGTGAAGAGAGCGGAGGAGTGGAGTAGTGTGGGAGAATTTCGGAAGCTTAAAGACCAGTCGAGCTACTGCATTCTGGATGAGCTGCAGAGGTGGAATGGCGGTGGCAGGGAGACCTGCCAGGAGGGAGTTGCAGTAGTCCAGGCGGGAGATGACAAGAGCCTGAATCAGTACCTGCGCTGCCTTCTGAGTGAGAAGGGGACGTATTCTCCTGATGTTGTAGAGCGTGTATCTACAGGATCGTGTTGTCGCAGTGATGTTGGGAGTCAGGGAGAGTTGGCTGTCGAGTGTCACGCCGAGGTTCCTAGCGGTTAAAGTGGGCGTTAACATGAAGTTGCCAAAGTTGACAGTCAAGTCCTGGCTCGGAGAATCTTTTCCTGGAAAGAGAAGTAGTTCAGTCTTGTCGGGGTTGATTTTCGGTGGTGGGCGGACATTCACTCAGAGATGTCAGTCAGACAGGCAGAGATCCGTGCCGCCACCTGGGTGTCCGAGGGAGGGAAGGAGATAATTAGTTGTGTGTCATTGGCATAGCTGTGGTAGGAGAAGCCATGCGAGCGAATGACAGCTCCGAGAGAGTTTGTGTAGAGCGAGAGGAGGAGGGGACCCAGGACGGAACCCTGAGGAACTCCCGTAGTAAGAGGACAAGGTTCCGACACAGATCCTCTCCAGGTTACCCGGTAGGTGCGACCGTCGAGGTAGGACAAGAGAAGGGAGAGAGCAGAGCCTGAGACACCAAGTTCCTGAAGAGAGGAAATAAGGATCTGGTGGTTGACTGTGTCAAATGCAGCAGAGAGGTCCAGAAGGATGAAGACAGAGGAGAGAGAGGGGCAGCTCACTGTTTGGTGTCTACAACTATTTTGTGCTGAAAGGCAGCTATTTACGTACTATTTCTAATTTTGCTGAGAACTGTATTATAAAAGCAACAAGGTACTTGAGGCAGTACTTTAGCTGCTTATTTAGCTACCTTATTGCTTAAATCACCACGGTGTAACCACTGACTATTGTTAATGTCAAAGTTTTGAAATGTCCTCCCCCAATAATTGATGATGAATTAATCCCATAATGAAGGCATGCTTATGTTTAAGGGTTGTAGATCATTTGTATGCTGTAAAGTTTGTGTGTTTCTGGCTGCAGTAAGAGTGAAGACTACAACCAGAAGACCATGGAAGAGGCTCTGAAGAAAGTGGAAGAGATGGAGGCTAATCTGGGAGGAACTGAGATCCTTGAGCCACTTAAACACATCTACAGACAGCCCTCCATTCCCAATCAACCTCGACAAGTAACACACACACACACACACACACACTTGTTGAATAGGTTGTAAAAGTATCTTTGTAGATCATCAGAGAATCATCACACTAAAACAGCAATGAAACACGTCTCTTTGAGAAATATGTTTGGATGACTCAACGCATGCTGTGTGTTTTTCCCATTGTTGCTGTGTGTAACTTTGTGTGAACTCTCCTCATCAGCTATTTGTCTTTACTGACGGAGAGGTGGGGAACACAAAAGAAGTCATAAATCTGGTGAAGCAGAATTCAGCCTCCCACAGGTCCAAGAACAAGAAAATCAACACAATTGCTAAAATAAGTCCCATGTTTAGGTGCTGGGTGTGTAAAAACCAGCCCACTGTGTTGTAGGTGTTTCTCCTTTGGGATCGGGGAAGGGGCCAGTTCTGCTCTCATCAACGGGTTGGCCAAAGAAGGAGGAGGCCACGCTCAGTTCATCACAGGGGCCGACAGGATGCAGCCCAAAGTAACACACCGCTGCCTTCATGTCAATGGAAAATCAAATCCTCACCAAAACATGATTACTTAAATGGTTCTTACTCACCAGGTGATGCAGTCGCTGCGGTTCGCTCTGCAACCGTCCGTGGGGGACGTCTCAGTCAAGTGGGATCTGCCGAGCGGAGTCTCTGTCACCGCTCTCTCTCCACCGATCGCAGCACTTTTCCAGGGTCAAAGGTCACTGGTTTACGCCCAGTTCACTGGACAGGTAGGAGCACCACCATCTTATAGTGGAACTACTCTCTCGTTTGATTTGTCAGGTGAGCGATGATGGAAGAAATGGTTTGTGACACTGATGTTTCCTCAGAGTTCGGAGGCGTCAGAGGGCTGTGTGACGGTGGCCTACAGCCTGGCAGGTCATCCCTCTCAGACCCAGCTCCACTTCAGTCTCAAACCTGCAGAGGACTCTGGGTAAAGCAGCACAATTATGCATTGGGTCCTGTCCTAAAAAATGTTGAGTTCATTTTCATTATTGAGATCAAATCAAAGGACCGAGGAAAGAGGAGCTCTTTGACTTTAGCGAGGAGTGAGAACCAACGAACTGTCCGTTAAGAGAGTATTGCACTGATGCATTAAAGGTCTGCTCAGTGGCTGACGCACACAATGTGCAGAGCGGCCTCGAACGTAATCATTTAGTCAAGAATCCCTGTAGAATCTCTTTGTTCTTTTCACTCCTGGATGTACATGAACCCTAAAAGAAATAATTAGTATGTGTATTATAATTTTGTAAATCTGTGTTTTGTCTGCAGACTAACAGTCCACAGGTTGGCCGCTCGGACCGTGATCCGCTCTCTGGAGATGCAGGTGAGAGAGCCTGGAGGACAGGAAGACGCAGGAGGGAAGAAGAAGGTGGTGGACCTCAGCGTCCAATCAGGAGTGAGCAGTGTCTTCACCGCCTTCATTGCCGTCAACAAATCCAACAGCGAAGCTATTCAAGGACCTCTGCTGCGCAGAGCGATTCCAACACCCAGTGAGTCATTTCTATAGAAATATAACAGAAATACAGCTGACCATGAATGAAAATGAATGTAGACAATGTTTGTTTAGTTATTGTCTCGGCTCAAATCTCAACATCAATTTATTTTTTGTTAATCTCAAAGGGATGAGGGCCTGCAAGGTTTTTATGGTGCCCTATTCGATGAGAAGTAAGTAAAACCTGTCCCAATGTGAGTAAACCTCAACAAATCTGAAATGGAGAGAAAAGCATACTTGTGTTTTTCTACACACTTTTGAGATATTTTAAACTATTTGAACTTCTTGGTAGTCACATAATGTCCCAATCCAGTAATCATGTCTATATTTTTGGTTTGGTTCTTAGCATGGCTCATGTCTTTACCTCACGCTGTGTTTTTATGATCTCATAGTGCCTGTGATGTCTTGTGATATGGCGCAGCTTCCTCAGATGTCTCCTAGTAAGTGTATTTCTATAAATAGACTAAATGGATGTAAACAAAACTGCATCGTCTTAAATGTTCAATCCGGCAGATTACCTATGCAGGGTTCTTGCACCATTTCAAAAGAAAAATGTAATGCTTTTTAAGACCTCAAAAAATATAATTTAAGACCCCAAAATGTCACAATTTCTTTGGAATACGCAATTTATTGCCTCCTACAATGGAAATCAAAACTCTTTTAACACACACTTGTTACAGCCGACTGAGAGGTGGCGTCTGAACTTGTAACGTCGTGCTGCAAACAATGCAGGGATTAACCTAGCCCCGCTATGGCTAGCTGCTGCAACGTATCGAAGCTCGACGGCTTTGAGCCCCGTGGTCCCTAATGAAAAGGTCTTTTTGCATAGTTTACACATTGCCTCATTGTTGTTTTCAATTGGCGCCAACCACCTCCTAAATTCATCCTCTTCCATCCACTTGTCGTTAGATTTGCACTTCACCATCTTCTTTGCATTTTCAACCTCACACCGCCAACCGCGTAATGGCGACACGCAGCCTGACGTTAGCGTTTGTAGCCAACGTACCGTGAACAGCTATTCAAACGGCTGGTATCTGCACATTAAAGTAGATCATATTTGTAAATTACCACATTAGGTTGTGCCAAAGGCATTTAATGATTAAGTTCCATCCACTAGCTGCACCAGTGTCGCTGTTGCTGCTCTTTTCTTTATACTCTGCTTTCTCCTGAAGTGGTTAACACTTTGAGAATGTCCAAATCTTACAATTTGGGTTCCTTCCTTATTATCCTTCCTTGTATAAATATTTACATCAATTTCTTTTTTTCATCCCAAAGTGATGGGGCCTGCCTTTGGTCAAAAGACCTGTAAGAAGAAGAGTAAGTAAAACCTGTGTTAATGTTCTATGATGAAGTACAACAAATCTGGATCGGAGTTAATCGCATACCTGTGTATTTCTACAATAATAATTGTAACAAGGTATTTTTGGTTTAGTTATTAAGATGTCTTGACCTCCCGCTGTGTTTTTATTATCTCAAAGGGCAGAGGGCAGGTGGTATGCCGGAGCTTCCTCAGATGTCTCCTAGTAAGTATAAATCTAAAAAGATCTGATTGAATTTGTATGAATAGACTAAAATTTAAATAGAAGACGACAAGTTTCTGTGGCACAATTTCTCTGCTTGCTTCTTCAATGTGATAATGAATGAATGTATGAACAGTAGGAGTTATTTTGGCCCCTGTTTGGGGGTAATTGACATAAGAAAGACGTGATTGTCTAGTGCAGCATGCGATGAAGGCTGCGCTGCGTGTGGCTACACTGCGGCATGTGTGCAATCATTTTCAATGTACTGAATCCTTAAAGGGCCGCACGGTATGGCCAGAAATCCATATCACGGTATTAAAAAAGATTCTGAGGTGTCCCGGTATATCACGGTATTGCTTTTTCAAGTAAACACATTAATTAATTGACCCCCGAAAAAGACCGGGCCGCCCGCTGACCAAATTGCCCACAACTGGCCGACGAGTTAGCTTGTTAGCGTGTTAGCTTGTTGTGGCTGTAAACAGCTGTTTGCGCTAGAAACTGGCCGGGGGAGTTAGCTTGTTAGCTCTTTAGCGTGTTAGCTTGTTGTGGCTGATAGTGTTGCCACCAGAGACTCGGGAGACTTTGCAATACATCGTTTTCTGATGTAACTTATGTCAGATTTTCCAAAACCCTTCAAACAGACACAGCTCCTCTCTTGGGCACAAGTTGTGTTGGTGCATCTCGGGTCTCCCTCCTTTATGCTCTTTTCCGTGTTGTCACGTAACCAGCAGAGTTAACGTTACCTGTTGTTGTGAGCTGTACCCAGCATGCAGTTCGGCGGGGGTAATTTCTTATTAATGTACAATTATTAGTGTTACAAATTGTTTATGTGTCACAAGCCGTTGTGTCGTGGTGTTTTACCCTGTTTGTTGTCGGTTATTCATTGTTGTTTTAAAGTTATAACCAGGACTCAATCTCAACACACATAACACAAGTAGCTCCGGTCGCTTGGCGCGTTGTTGTTACGTGTCTAAAATAATTTTGCCGCCCGCTTAGGAGCAACATCGCGTGAGGAATTCGTCTGTTGTTGCTGTTGTATAACGTTCCACATCTCTTTTTTTCTTTAAGTGATGGACGAAGATGACATGCGTGGTAAGTAGCGTTATTTAGCACACGCCTGCTGACTGTCGTCTTTTGTTTCACTCATGTTCCCCTCTGGGTGAATTGTAATATGCTCGGTGATTTTCTGGCTTTAAATTTAAACTTTTTATTTGTGCTGTCAATAGATTAAGAGAAATTAACTAATTAATCACACATTTTGAAATGAACTAATCTCCATTAGTGGCTGTTAGACTAAATCTTACAAGTAATGAGTAATCACTTCAGAAAACGTGTATTTCAGACACTGTTGTTTAATTGTTATTGTTATTTTAAACACAAAACTACACACATTTGATCATCTTGATCAATATTAAATAATATTAACAATTTTAATAATAATAAAACACAATAAAAAACAATTTTAGTAATAATGAAACACGTTTAGGTTGACAGCCCTACTTTTTATCATTTAAAACCTTTTATTCATCAAACACTTTGATTAACCAGCAAACCTCATATGGACTTTGTGTTTATAGATACTTAGCAGGTAATGATGACAGATCCCATAAAATAACATTATTATTATTGGGTCAGTGTTTTAAAGCTTTGCATGTCATGTTTTAGTTGAATAATTCCCTCATATGTCGTTCCTCTAATATATACGTCCTTCTACACATCAGTATCAAATAGGAAAAGAACAATAGAAATTACTAAACCAAATTGATCACTCTCAGTACAATGAGCCAGAGGGATGTTTATATTTTCACTCTGATCTCTTCCTCAGAAAGCTGTCGGCCCAAACAGCCCCCCAGAGACCCTTTGCTGCAGCTGGTCTCCCTGCAGAAGGCGTCTGGCTGCTGGTTGCTGGATCCACATCTGGCTGCTGCACTGGGGAAGACCAGCGAGGAGGTGGAGAAGCCCAAGCCTGCATCGGTGGGTTGCTGTCAATGACAATAACGTTGGTTAATAATGGGACTGTTCAATGTTGCCCTTGGTGCTGAATCCTCTGTTCTCTTTAACTTTGTTTTCCCCGTTGGGTTCTATTCCATTTTGCATTGTTTGTTTTGTTGTATTAGGTGAAGCAGGACGTGTGGGCCACCATTCTGGCTCTGATCTGGCTTCATGGTTTCAAGATGGATGCTCAGGAGGAGTGGGAGCTTCTGGCTATGAAGGCTGTGTCCTGGCTGCGAGCTCAGAAAGGTAAAAAGCACTAAATGAATGTCAGGATGCCAAAGCTGAGTGACTTCTGGAATTGGTAGGAGGCAGCCAAGCAAGACTTTGTCCTGATATCATAAGGGTTTATATTTGTAAAAAAGAAGGTTCCTGGTTCACGTACCATTAAACAAATATACAAAGAAGACAAGTAAACCTAATCAGTTAACCTTAACAAGAGTATGGTAAGTACCCAAAACACAGACTAACATGGGGACAAAGGTGAGTTGTCACCCACTTTATCGCAATGAAGTATTGATTTTCTGTGTTTTCAAGGGACTCTTTATCCACAGTCTGCTGATGACGTGTTCTGTGTTTTCTTTTCTGCAGCATCATTGGTGACGGAGTGTGTGGAAGCAGGAAATGCTCTGTTGGGTTGCAACGTGCAGAAAGACGCCGTGGGGCTCTGACGTGTTCATTGAAGGAGCTTCTCCTGCAGGATTGGTCCCCTCTGGTACATCAAAGCAGATTCACTCCATCGTGTACTTAAAATCAATTAATCCATTTTATGTCATGTGTCTAGCACAACTTTAAATTAAACTCAATTTTGAAAAACAATGTTCTTTGGTGGCTTTATTTCAGTCTTCACCGTTCTGATTCATTGTGCAGTACAAACTTTGTGACATCAAGTTAAGAAAGATATATCCTTAATAACTACTGGGTCTGAGGGGTGTTCATGCTTTAAAACAAACCTTTTACTTGAGTTGATATCTTGCTCTTGTCCAACACTAATTGGTTATTTTATACAGTGAACAAATTGAAGGTGTGTGGCAGTGAGTTGTTTGGGTTGTTATGGCGCAGGTGTAGAGAGGGCGCGCTGGGAACCATGAGGTTGGTGGTTTGAGTCCCGGCTACCCCATGTCTCAGGTCGAAGTGTCCCTGAGCAAGACACCTATCCCCTAATAGCTCCCTGGTTAAAAATGTAAAATGCCATGGGTTACAAATGTAATGTAAGTCGCTTCGGATAAAAGCGTCAGCTAACTGACCTATAATGTAATAATGTAGTTCATACTTCATCCAAAGATAAAGGTTGTTTAAAACAGTGCAGAGAATCAATGAATTTGCTGGTAATTATTTAATTGTTCCAGGGTTACACTTAGTTCCCCAGATCCATTTTTATTTTAACCAATTCAACAGCAAGTTGCAGGCGAGAAGTTAGAAAAGGAAATTATTTTCTTCACAAAGTAAATACAATGCTATTCAAGTAGATTGTTTTGTTAAACTA